ATGGCACACTTGCCAAAGCAGGCTGTTTGTATCATCGAAAGCTCTAAGAGAAGGTCTAGATGCTGGACTCCTTGGAATGCTCTGCCTTTGCTGAATAAGCTTGCCAGATTCTGTGTGGGTGGATCTCAAAATGCAAAAAGGAAGGGATAGAACCTGCGATGGGGAAAACATTAGCAAACTTCAGCCAAGATGAAATATCCTTTCCTGGATATTGGTGGTTGAGGACCGTAACCACATTGACTGGAAGCCTTAGGGTTAGGGTTAGCCCCATCCCCATAGCACTGGGGGAAAGAAAGGATTGCAGAAGACCCAGAACCTAGAGTGGCATCCACCAGAGCCCCCTTGGATGGTCTCTAGAAAACAAAACTCTACAGTTGTACCAATCGGCCCATTGCATCTAGGTAGGAAGTGCATCTGCCTGCCCAGCCTGGAGCCTGTTCTCTTGATCAAACTGTCATCGTGAATAATAATTATGCCTCGGGAAACAGCAGAGTGACTCAAAATGCTGACCTGCCCCCCCCCCCGTCAAAGCTTTGCACACACAGTATGCAGAGGCCCACAAAAGTTGAGCCACCATTTCTCTCCCTCCTCTTACCTCTCTGAAGTGCCTGGGGTCACCGAGCAGAGGGTGGAAGTGGGCACTGCTGTACTGACTTGGTGCATGTGATGAAGCAGCACTCAGGAACAGAGTCTTTGCATTTTAGAAAGTGGCCTCAAGTCTCAGGAATAAAACATGGGGCTTCTCAAAAGCTCAGCTTTAGCCCTAAATGTCAAAAGCAGGGAGAGTAGACCCTTATTCGGAACCTATTGTGTGTCAGTCATTAGACTGAGTGTTTTACGTTGTACATAATAGAGATCAGTAAAGTATCAGGCTACAAGATGTCACAATGTTGGAATAACAATTCCATACTCATTGGTACAGGTCCACAGCCCAAAAGCCCTGCCTCCTCCACCCCCTACGCTCAGTGATCCAGCAAACAATGGGGTGATCCTGGCACAGCAGGGGCCACCCCATCCTGCTCAGGGTGCTCAGGGTGGCTAGCATCATTCTATTCATATGTTGAACATTACTTCAGTGCACACCATCTGATGCCCCCTGACTAAGGTCCTGTTACCACCCCATCTTACAGATGAGAAAGCCTAGGCTGAGCATCTGATCTGCCCGAGGCCACACAGAGAGACCCAGGGCTGGAGCTGGAGCCCAGGCATGCGGATTCTCACTAAACCTGGCTTTGGCAATCTGACCACTTGGGCAAAAAAATGCATGTTAGTGTTGGTAGTACCATGCTCTTGTTCCTTTGCCCTGAAACTGGTCCAAACTACAAGAAACGCCTGATCCGCAAGCCAGCAAATCAGTCTTCCCATGCCTGTTGAAATTGAGTCTCTGCTCCCATTGCTCCCCAGGTGACCACCTTAAAGTCCCAGTCACTGTGTGGGACAAAGACACAGAGTCTCAAGACATATGGCTCCAGGGGCAAAGGATGGTAATGGCTGAATGTTGCAGGAAAGAGCTGATTCCCTGAAGATCTAAGAGCTGGGCACAGTTGAATCTAGGATAAGGAGGTCCATCTTGGCTAGTTTATGGTAAGAAAGATGCCTCCTGAAAGACCTGCATGATCCGCAAACCACACCCACATCCATGATTGCTGTATGTGGAATGTTATTTCCCTCAAGAACCAGCAACAGTCCTATAGCTAAATTCAAAGGATACAAGGATTAGCCCAGGGACACAATCACCTTCTATGCAGGACCCATCACAGCTCTGACCACACAAGTGTGCCCTGCACATCTCATTAGAAGGTCTCATCAGTGAGCACCCCTAACTGTCATGGCATACGGCCCCTCTGAATACTGCTGATAAAGGCTGCTCTAAGGAACTAGAGACAAAACACTTATCGCTGGGCAAAGGGGTGGTGAGATTCACCACACTGGAAAGAGGGACCATTTATAGCTCAGCAGTTGCTACAAAGGAAACACACTTTCCATTTCCTCTTTCTCACCACAAATTCTTAACTCCCTCCAGGTTCTTTGTCGAAGGCCTCTAATTTGTCCTTACAAAGGCTCTCATTTAAGTCAAAATGTGGTTCACGAGGCACCTTTCCTTCATCTTTCCGCGAGCTCCGTTTTTCTGATGAGGAACTCCTTAACACAACTAAGAATAATGAAAGCCTAATTTCATGGTACATTTGTCATATCAGGCGCCGTGCTAGGAGTTCTGTGTGGATTCTGCTTTCATGTACTCATTCATTCGCATTTCCTTTCAGTTCATGGAACTTGGAACCACTCCCCCTTTGCCGACCCGCCACCCTCCAGCACGGGGAAAGGTACAAGAGGCCCTGCAAAAATCATTCTGCCCCTCTTCCTGTCTGCGGTGGGCTAAGCGCATTCTTTCCCTAGAAGTAGAAATCAGCCCCTCCACAGACTTCCCCTGAGACTTCTGAGTGCTCAATAAATGCAGACAGCAATAACTGAACCCCAAGCGCGCTGTGGACGCTGTTCTAATCACCCTCGGCGAAGGTGTAATTACAACACGTACCACTTTTACCTCAACACTCATGAGCAATTTCCATACACCGGCATACATCCTCATAGACCTCCCAGCCACACGGTCAGTAAGATCTGAGGCGCAGAGAAGCTACCGGGTGGACACGGATTTGAATCCAGACCCACTGGGCTCTAAAGCCTAATTTCTTTCTGAGGTACCATCCTCCTGCAGCTCCTGTGTACATGACTGAGGAATGAATGTTTTTTAATTATCAATCAGAGGAGCCTCGAAGAAGATTGCTTAACAAGATAAATATGTTCCAGGATTGGCACCAGGACAGTTTCTAGCCTTGCCTTCCGGGCAAAGTGTCAACCTCCACTTTCTCCTAGAGCAGGGTTTCCAGGTAGATATGAGACATCCGGTTAAATTTGGATTCCAGATAAACAGTGAACGGTTTTTAAGTCTGTCCCAAATATTGCATGGGCCATTCCTGTACTGAAAAAAAATATTCAATTATGCTTATTTGCAATTTAAATCTGAGTGTCCCAGGTTTTTATTTGCCAAACCTGGCAACTCCATCCTGAAGTTAGACAGGTGGGCCCTCTGCCTAGCTCCAGGATCCAAGCTTTGCTCCAAGAGGAGTTGACATGGCAGGCTGAGCACCACTCCCAGGCCCTGGGTGAACTGACACTTTCGTCCCCTTTCCCCTGGCCCCTGTGTTCAAGGCTCCCAGCTACTTCCAGTTTACTGGATGCACCGAGCTGCCCACCGCCCTCTGCAGCTTTTAGCCTCTGGTATTCTGCACTTTCTGCCTGGTGCTATCTTCCCCTTCTTTCCTTTGCCAGACTAATTCCTATTGATCCTTCAGTTTTCCAAATACAGCTACTTCTGCCCAGAAAGCCCTCTGGCCATCTGTGGCCAGGCTGGCTCTGCCCGTTGCCCTGGAGCACTGGGCCTCCTTCCGAGAGGCTGAGTTGGACTCAGCCTCCCTGCACCTAGCATGAGCACAGGCTGCAGGTAGGAGGAGGGCAGTCAGTGAATGAAGGCAGGGTGTCCCGCCAAAGTTGGTCCTCTGGATGTGACTACTTCTGTCCACCCTCCCACCCTGAGTCACGTTTTCTCTGAGGCACCCTCTCCCCGCCCCCACCCCTCAGCATCTGTGAAAGGCAAGCTCCGCTGGGTGTAGGGCAGCAGGAGCTCTTCAGGTGAGCAGAGAGCAATCTGTGCTTGGCACAACTTCCAGGGACTCCTTACCCTGTCCGTGCCATGGGTTCTGCCTCAGTGGGCTTCAGTCTGGCTGCCGCCCTGCTTAAAGCCTCTGGCTTCCTAGTCCTGGCTCAGGCCAAAACCTGGCCCCTTAACAGAGTATGTGGGGTCTCACTCCCAGTTTGGGGGTGTGGGGACCTGCTGCTGTCAGATGGCTGAGGGTTAGGGCAGGTGGCCGGGGCTGATGAGCCTCAGAACAACCCCCATATGCTCCGAGTTCACCCACCCAAAGCTTTGCCCACGCACAACCTGGCAGCAGGAGCAGAGCAGCACAGGACTTAACCCTTGCGGGCATCCAGACGTCAGCTTTCAAACAGCGCTAACTTTAATGCCCAGCACACTCAAATAAACATAAACACACACACAGATACACACACACACACACACACACACACACACACACACACACACACAGCTGGGCTGCGATCCCCTGGCAGAGACCCCAGTTTGGGGATTCAGGACAAGCCTTCTCCTCCCCCGAGCATGCCATAGGTGGAGGAACTGGATGGGGTGGGGGAGTGTGACCTCAGGGGGTGCTCAAGGGCAAAGGGAGAATGGGGTAGGGGTGGGCAGGGCGGAGGTCTGGGGCAGAAGCCAAAGTTGGACTCCGGAGCAAAGCCCAGCTGGGTGAGCGGCTCTCTGACCTGACCTTTGGAGACTCTTTCTGTGCCTTCGCGTGTGGCCCCAGCCACCCAGGGCAGACTATGTGAAGAGGACAAAAAGGGGGAAACACCCTTTCTTCGCAAATGAACTCCAAAAATAGAACCCCTTCCCCTGCGGACGCGAGCGAGCTCCGGGCTTGCTCTGCTCGGATTTTCCGGCTCGGTGGCTTGTTTTCCAGGAAGTCCTGGGCGGGTCCAGGTATCCCGAAAGCCGGAACAACTGCCCCCTCCAACCCCTTCCACCTTGTCAAACCTCCAAGTCCTGACCTCCGCTGGGCTGCGAATCGGAGAGGGAACTCAGCGGGCGGGAGCGCGGACGCCGGAGACGACTCCTAGGGCTCGGCCAGGTGAGTCCCGGCTGCGCAGGTACCGGCGCCGGCGCTGGGCGGCTTGGGCAGCGGCTGAGTAACAGGGCTGACAGGTTGGTGCTTTCCCCCTCCTCCTCCTCCTCCTAGTCGTTAACCACACCCCTGCCGCTCTCCTCGCTACTTCCTTTAAGGGTGGGGTGTGCTGTGTGTGTGCCGGCTCCAGCCTCTTACCATAAACTCTGAAATAGACGCTGCCACCAATTCCCCCGGCTTCCCGGCTGACCTGAGGCCATCTCCGCATCCCCCCAGGCCCAGATGGGACCCTCAGGCCTTGTGGGAGCCTTGTGAGTGGAGGATCCCCAGCTCCTAAGGCAGTGACCCCCCACTCCGCCTACTGCAGCGGAAGACCTTCGGAGTCCACACCTTCAGAGGTTGGTTTCCCAGTAGGTCCACAGCCAGTCCCATGCTTTGGCACCAGTCTGGGCTCCCCACATTCTAAAGTGGTTGGACCCCTTGCAGGGCATCTAGTGAAAACCACTTGGGACACCCAGGACCAGGAGACCCCTGAGCTGGGCCCAGGCAAGGTCAGAGGGCAGCAAGAGAAAAGGGAGCCAGTCTGATCTCCAGGGTGGCTCTCTTCACAGCCAGGACTAAAAGGCTGGTCAAGTCCTCACTCAGGCCAGAGTGGGATTAGAGATGGGGACTTTGCAGCACTTTTCCCGAGGGTTAGCAGGAGTCCAGACTTTCTCTTGAGCAGGAGGGGGACTTGGGTGATGGTCACTGACAGGCAGCCTTCCTCCCTGAGACCTCTCCCCAGACCTCATTGGACTCTGCCCTGTCTCTGGAGGCCTGGGGTCTGGATGCCAGGCCCAGCGTGGTCTCTGAGGGGACACGTTGGAGCCAGGAAGTATCATGCTGCCTGTGACGGCAAGGTATGTGTGACCACAAGGTATGCGTGACCACGTCAATAATATTTTCTTCCAGGAAAACGCTGAACATTCTGGATGAGTCTCCCCCAAGGAAAATAGGAGAGCCATTTGCTTTATGTGATTACATTGAATTCGCCCTGTCTGTGAAGAGAAGGTGGAGTCTTGGGTTAATTAACAAACCCAGAAAGTGGGTGCTTCTCAGAGTGTATCCGTGGATATGAGGACTGTTAACAGGGAGGGCAGCCTGCAAGACTGAAAATCAAAACGTGAAGCCAGGGCCCAGCTGGCCCACAGCGGCAGCTCTTGGCCTGTCCTTGTTCATCCTGCTTACCCACTTGGCATGCCCAGAAGGCAGAGTGTAGCCATTCCTCTAGGGCTTGGAGAGTCAGGCCAGACCAAGGGAGTAAGCTGCCAGGAAGACACGTGTCAAGGTGCTGAGCTGTGGAACTGACCACACAACAGGGACCCAGCAGAGGGCATCAGGCAGCCCTTCTTACTTCCTTCTCGGACTCAGAGGGTCACCTCAGTGAGTCCTGGGGTCTGCGAGAAGCTGGTGGCCTGGGAACCAAGAGCAAATGTGCAGGTTTAAGAAAAAATGCGTTTGTGTGTGCTGCCTCTATGTGGCCGCATGCAAGAACTACAATCTTATGTCTCCTGGGCCTAACTGGGGAAAGGCAAGTTCTCAGAGATTCAGTTTTCAGAGGCTGCTGAATTTTACAGCTCTAAAACCTAGCTCCTTGACTCACAGAGTCAGTTTTTTTTTTTTAATAAAACTATCTTGAGAAACTTCCAAGGGTGGCCAAACCTGCTTTCAGGTGTCCTAAGTTTTTGTTTCTAAAAGACTAAAGTCATACATTTCTGTTACCTTTCAATGAGCAAATGTTTTCTTCAGCTCAAAACTTTTGAAATTAGATGGCCCACTGAGATCTAATTACTCCAGATCTGGGCCTAAGTCACCCATTATGTGCTTGCCAATAGGCCTCCTGCCATCCTTCCCCTTGAGGGTCTGCAGGGCACCAGCCTCCTAAGTGCTGAGCTTTGGGAGTCACCTGTGGTACTTGTTCTCTTTCGGTGTCCCATGGCCATATATTCTCCAGGTCCTGCGAGTCCTTCCAAGCATCTTTCGTGTGTATCCTTTCCCCCTCATCCTGTCACCCCTCCTTGACTTGTCATTCTCTTTGTCACTTGTGTGGCCTTTAGTGGAGAGTTCCGTGACTGGAGCTCATGAAATGGCCCAAGGTGTACACTCTGTGGATGGAATTTGAAACCACAGGAGTGCATGAGATTGTCTAGCACAAGAGTAACAGGAAGCAGGGGGCTTGATGTCAGCTTAACTCCCCCCAGGATTACATCAACCCATTGTATTGGTCAGTGATGATCAACTCACCTTTGTCCCCTCTGGTGTCACAATTATCTTTGTTCTGCTGTTTTAAGTGAAGGCTGCAGCTGGGGATAGCCCTTCCACACGCCACACCCCATGGACCTGAAGGGAAGAGGCACAGTTCAAATGGGGAGACTGATGAGAAACCAGAAGTGAAAATCTGGGCTGTGAAGGAGAGATTGAGGGAGGGCAGTTGAAAGAGGGCTGTTTGTGACTTGAAATGACAGCCAGCAGAGTGGCTTCAGTACATGGGGAAGGATCCAGTTAAGAGGGAACAGACTGCGGCCTTGGACAAGTGAACCCATCTCTCTGTGCTTGTGCAGCCCCCACTCCACCGACAGTCAGGCTTTCTTAGGTAAGTCACCCATGATCCATGACAGATGGATGAATACAAGAGGTGTAGAATACACTCAGGTGTTTGGTGGGCAGCCATAACTATCTCTCATCCCTTCTGTTTAGCATTTTATGATTTCTTTTATAATTGTTGCTGCTATTCATCACGCCCCCTGCTTTATGAGACAGGGCCTTGCTATGTAACTCAGGCTGGCCTTGAACTCACTATGTAGCCCAGGCAATCCTCCGGCCTTAGCCTCCTAAGTGCTGGGATCATAAGCAGGCGCCACCATTTCTGTCTTCTGCCATTCATCGCTTACAGTGACTTATTTATAAATTTAACTTTATCATAGGTATATGCGTACAGGAAGTTCAGTACTATCTGCAGTTTCAGGCATCCACTGGGTGTCTTGGAACTTATGCCCCTCAAGTCACAGGGACAATTAATTGTATTTCCTAATCTAGAAGATAAGGAAAATAAATATCACCTACTCTACCTATTCCACAGGCATTGTGAAGTACAAATTAAGAGATAGGTGTGAAAATATTATAAAAATGTCCCAGTTAACTACTTTTAGAAGTGATAGGAATTAAATGGTAAAATCAGTAGGAGAGATTATCCATATATTTGTTATGCAGTTATAACTTGTTGGTTACAAATAATTTGCTATATACAGATAAAATTCTGCTGTAGGCTAAAAGCTTTCATCTGTTACTTGGCTTAAACTGTATGGTCATCACTGAGGTAGATGAAATGGTTTCTACAGTATTTTGCAGAAAGAAAGAGGAGGCTTGGAGAGAGAAATGATTGTCCACAACCACCCAGGCAGTAAACAGAAGAGCTGAATCTAAATCAATGATGAAATTTCATTTGCATAATATAAATCTACTATTAGAATAAATTTTATTCCAGAAGAATAATATGGTCATGAATGTTCTGAACCAAAAAAAGAAAGACAAAGAAAAAAAAAAGACAAAGAAAAAAAAAATCTTGTAGGTGCAATGACTCAATTGTCTTTACTTATCAAGGCTTCTATTTCTAATTTAACCAGGTACTGCTAAGTTCACTAAATGAATCATAGTTGAGACCAAAATAAAGAACTTCAAACCATGCCCTGAATTTAAAAAGGACCCTTTAGTCAATTTACAAAGGCATCCATTTCTCTTTTCTTCTCTCAATAACTCAATCTCATTTTTAGTTGGTTACAGGTTGCCCAAAATATGGACACAGTTGTGATGGTGTGGTTAAGTGCTGGGTGGTGAGGGATAGACCTGTGCATATGACCCAGGAGCATGCCCTTGGGGAGTGAGCAGCCTGGCCAGGACTTTCTCTCTTCCTCCACCTGACAATGCAACCTGGAGCAGCCATCTTGGTCTATGATGCTGACAACAGCCATGCCACACAAGAGATGAAGTCTGAGTCCTTAAGGCCACCCAGCCACCATGCTCATACTGGGCATGGCCTGGACCAGGAGAACTTTTACAGAAGGAGAAGGAAACATATAGATGACTGCATTTGGGAGGCTTCAGTTACAAAAGCCTGAAATGCATCTGTGATAGGTTGATACAATAAACATGTATTTGGTCATTGCCTGGCATTCCTAGCACACAGCTCTTAAGACCCTTGGGATCTCCAGAGTGGTGAGTGTCTTTGGTATGCTAGTGACACAAAAGGTGACTAGGGCTGCTAAATAAACTCAGGATGGGTGGCTGTCTCCAGAAAGACTGAGGAAGGATAAAAAGCTGAATGTGAATTGATCAATGGCCAATGAAATTGGCTAATGTAATCAGTGATGTCTGTGAAGTCTCCTTAAAAACTAAAAGTTCAGAGAGCTGAACATGTGGAGGTGCCTGGTGGGAGAGACACCCTAGAGACAGCCTCCATTCACACCTGGCCCGAGCCATCTCCTCCACCTGGCCGTTCATCTATGCCCTTTGCAATAGCCTTTATGATAAGTAGGCAAATTAAGTAAAGTGTTTCCCTGAGCTCCATGACCTGCCCTAGAAAATTAATGGAAGAAGCCAGAGTCATGGGAATCCTAGTTTATGATTAGCCATTCAGAAGCACAAGTCACAAGCTAGGACTTGTGACTGTCATCTGAAATGGGGGCAGTCTTGTGGGACAGAGCCCCTGAATTTGAGGGCTATTTCATTCCAGGTAGATAAGAGTCAGAATTGAGTGATATTGGAGGACACCAAGCTGGTGTCCTGCACCACAGAACTGGTTGTTAGTGGGGAGAAATGTACACAGCTAGGGTCAGAAGTAACTGATGAGTGGTGTGTGAGAGTAGAAAGAAGATAACAGTGTTTTTATTTTTCCTTCAGAGTATCCTATTATATGACCATTTAGCCTGTTTTCTTCTAGTTGCACATTAAGACAGAACCTCAAGGTCCTCATCTAGAAAATGGGATTTACTTACTGTCTACGGTTATTGGAAAGACTAGAAGTAATATGTGCGTGAACCACAGCCAGTGCTGTAGCACACAGGTGAAAATTAATGGTATTATGGCCTGTCATAACTTATATAAAAATGACTTCCTGAAAAGAAATGGACCAAGTTCACTTTAAAACATTTAAAATTTCACTTCATCGTCTCTGTAGTAAGAAGAACTTCCAGAAAGCAAGGACAGGAAGTACCTAGCAAAGACAAGAGCCCCCAGAACACAGGCATCTGGGGCTACTTACAGGGCAGAGGCAAAAAACCCTACATACTTCACTAACTCTCGAGGGAATCCATTAAGGGTAGTCATTCTTGTCTATTTTGTAAGATCACAAAGAACAGTTTATATTGTATGTTCTTTATTTCAGAGGAAAAAGAACACCATATTTTCCATAAAATGTTCAATTCAAAATAATTGCAATGAATTAATTGGATGCTTAAAAATAAACTTCAGGTGGGTGGAAAAATCAGCTTCAGTTTGTCCAGCTGCCTGAAGGCCTGTCTCTGTGGATGACCTCAACAAGAGGTCCAAAGTCCAAACACTGACAGAGACCAGGTGGGAAAGTGGGCTGAAGCTGGCTGGACGGGGACTGGGACAAACTGCAGGACAAATGTCCTCCCACAGGAAGCAGCTACCATTCACCTTGGAAGTCTATTGCCATGAAAGAAAGCCAGCTAGGTGTAGCCAGATCTTTGTTTAAAAGGAAAGACGGAACCAGGCATGATGATGCATGCCCGAATAATCTCAACTCTTGGCAGGCTGAGGCAAGTGAGTTCAAGGCCAGCCTGGACTACAATAGTGAGGCTCTGTCTCAAAAGACCAAGATAAATAAGTAAATAGAAGCAAAGGCAGACGGTGACTTATATGAAAAGCAAGTCATAAAAACAACTCTTTTATAACATCATCAAAAAGAACACACTTAGGAAATACTTAGGAATAAACTCAACCAAAAGTTGAAAGACTGGTATGCTGAAAACAACAAAACATTGCTGAAAGAAATTATAAAAGACATAAATAAATGGAAAGACACTGCTCATGAATCAGAAGACTGAGTATTGTTAAGAAGTCAACACTGCCCAGAGCAATCTACAGATTTAATATAATACCTATCAAAATACCAACAGCATCTTATGCACAAATAGAAAATGCCATCCTAAAATTTGAATGAAATAGCAAGAAATTCCAAATAGTTGAAACAACCTGTAAAAAAGAAAAATGTTGGAGTCCTCACAATGGTCAATTTCAAAACTTTGAAAGCTACAGTGATCAAAATGGTATGTAACTGATATAGGAGACAATTTGAGTGCCTCACCTTGACTGCAGAGTAAGTTAAATTTAGTCTTATTTCCATATACTGATAGGTGCAGAGCAGGCTATGCTATTCCCTTCTCCCTTCAATTGGCTCTAAGTGATACAAATAAGGCCAGCTAAGTTACAGTATGTAATCTTTTAGGCCAACTGACAGTTTCCTGTTTTCTCCCTAGTGCTCTTTGTAAAAGATTGGAGCACAGCAGGATGGCAGAGCAGGTCAGCTCCAGGAATGTCAGCTGGATATGGCACGAAGGTTTACATATCAGAAACTGAAGCAACAGCCTCCTAATACAATTCAAATGCTACCTTAATTGAATGCAGACTGGTCCTTCTGCAGTATCATTCTCCCTGCATTTTGCAAAGATGTTTTTCTCCCACCTGGCTGGCCAGCTCAGGTTGCTCATGTAGTTCCTGCCACTCTCACTGTCACTCATCCATGAACCACCCCTTTCTTCACAAGATGATAAATTCTGGGAGAGGCCTTGGATCAAGCCTTTTGTCCTCATATCCTCACTTGGATCCAGCTTATGACCCCTTGGCTGCCCTTAGCTTGGAATATGTCTTACTGCCTTTACTCTCACCGTGGGTTGCATTAACTTGCTGGGATTCCAATAACATCTGAATGGAACTACAAATATAACTTTTTGGATTGTGTGGATTATAATATTCATTTTGGGATTACAAAACTGGCTTAAAGACAGACACACTGATCAATAAAATACTATAGAGAGCTCAGAAATAAGCATTTGCATATATGATTGCTGACTTCCAAAGAAGGTGCCAAGACCAAACCATGGAGAAAGGATATCTCTTCATCAAATGATATTGTGAAAATTGCATATCCACAATGCAAAAGAATTTGTGTATTTTCCTTGTACCCAGTTAAAAATATAAATCAAGACAGATCAAAAACCTAAATATAAGACATAAGCTGTACAGCTCTTATAAGAAGTCATCACATTGGACTTGTTAGTAATTTTTTATATGATGCCAAAAGCACAGGTGATAAAAGTAAAAAAGATTAAATGAGACTTCGCTGAATTTCAAAACTTATGTGTATCAAAGGACACAATCAACAGGATGAAAAGTCAATCTGTGTTATCAGAGAAATTATTTTCAAGTACTGTGTCTGCTAAGAGAGTACAACAACACAATGTTTTATGTGAAAAAATTACAAAGGTAGAAAGCTAAATTTTTATGTGAAATTTCTCAATTTGTAAACATTAGCAATTGTTCTGAACCTGTAGTTTCCTGCCTCATGGTGATATCTCCCTCTCTTTGATAATAAAAATCCCAGACCCCAAATGTGTCTGAGTGTCCACTCTTTATTTATCACGTGACTCAGGTCAGTTCTGCCTGATCCAAACTGATCATACTGGTCTTCTTCCTCTAGCCAGCAATGAATTTAGAGGTGGATAAGCAATTCAGTTCTGATGAATAAAGGATGAGAAGACTTCTAGAGTTTTAGGAAGGTTTCATTTTTTGAAATTGGATCATTTCAGGATAAGATGCCTGTGAAGGAGGCTCTGATAAATGACTCCATTTTGTCTCTACCAGACTTGTCTTTTCTGAGTTGTTCTTTCTCTTGGTCTATCTTAAATTCCAAAATCACACGTCTGATGGATTAGCATCTTGCCACAGGAATCAAAATGGTCCTCAGCAGTGGCAGTTTCCTCAGCATTGATTCTATGTGATCAGTCCCAGGACAATTATCAACCAGATTATGACCTTCCCAGGATCCCTTACCTATATGGCAATGCCCCACAAGTCTTACCTTGGTACTACTGCTGACAGCTTTAAGATGGCCCTGAGATTTGTCATCCTGTGTGAAACCATTGAAGATAAATTCCTTTCTTATATCACCACCACTCTTTTCCATTTGATTTTTTTTCCTTGGGATAGAAAGCTGAACCTGCTCCGTGGAGACCTAAGAGTCAGGCATATGGCCTAAAGTTCTAATGTCTGGAGCTCCTGCAGTCATTTTCCAAGCAGGAAAGCCACAGATAGACCTGTGGAAAAATGGGAGAGATGGGAAGAATCAGAGGCACTGACATAACCAGTTGCATCCCTCCCTACCTTTTTTTAATCTCCAGACTTCCTGTTATGTGAGATAATCCATCTATTTATTGTTGAAATTACTTTGAGCTTCATGAATGCATCTGTAGCTTAAAGGATCATTATCTATGCAGACAATTAAAGAATATATGAACCAAATCTGACCCAGAGGAGCAGGGAGTTTACTGACCTGGGTAGTTCTCCAGTTACTTGCACTAAGCACTGTTGCATGAATTTCTCTCTGTATTATTCAGACCGACTAGGAGTCCCTTATTCTCCTTGTTTCCATGGTTTCTTAGAGAAGGTCCACGCCGTCACTGTTCCCCACCAAGAATCTCTCTACACTGACTTCCTCATTGATTTTCTGTTTCTGAAGATGCTATTTCCAGCCCTGCAACTGTCCTTTTTAGTTACAAGTTTCCTTATCCTTCTAGTATTTTCCATGAAAGCTGCTTTGTCTGTTAGTAACATATAACATCATCTTTCCTTTGATTAGGATTAGTGTGATACATCTTTTTCGATCCTTTCACTTTTATTTATATGTTCCTATGAAGAGTGGGTTTTTTGAAGGCAGGATATAATTAGGTCTTGCTTTATGCAATTCATCTCTCCTTTTACCTGCAACAGCCACTTTCTAGTTAACTGCTTTTAAAAAAAAAAGAGAGAAAGGTCATTCTTCCTTGTTAGAGTTTGAATGTGTTGGAAACTTAAATGTTACTGTTATTGAGATGGGCCTTTGGAAGGTAATTAGGATTGGAGGAGACATTAGGTGGGGTCCCTGTAATAACATTAATGACAGTAAGAGGAAGAAAGACCTGAGCTGGCATGCTTGTGCTGTCTGGCCATGTGATGTGCTCTGCCATATTATAATGCAGCAAGGATGCCAGCACCATGCTCTAAGATTTTTCAGCCTCCAGAGATGTCAGCTGAACAAAAACCTCTATTCAAAGATTACCAAGTCTCTGAAACTCAGTTACAACAGAAATATACTAAGACATAAGACACTCCCTTTTCTCTCTGTACCTAAGCATTGTTTTTGTAATACAACTTTAAGAATTATCATTCCTTACATAAATTTACATGATGATGGCAAGGAGTTTGGAAATCAGGCAGCATCTGGCTTCGGGTATGTGATGGGGAATTTAGAGATAGTAAGAAAGTAAGCTTGTCCTATCTTGTACTGCCTACATAATTTCTACCCTGCCCTAATCTTGCTTATCTTTAAGGACAGGATGCCTGAAGGGCAGCAGGCCCTGTTGAGGTCAGTTAACTAAAACTGGTTGGTTCTAACAGGCCTAGGTGTCAGAGTGACCACTGGACAGCCTCTAACTTCATTGTGTAACATCGACATGCTAAATGACAGCCCCTGCCCCATCCATGACAGTTGCCATAATGATGACAAAGAAGGAGAAGAAATCAAGCAAGCAAGCAGGTCAAAGAGGTGGGACCCAAATCCTGGAATCTCTATCTTTTCTTAGAAGATCCCTCCTGATTATTAGCCTATCTCTCCCCTTATTTCCTGTATTCCAAGTGTTTGACTTCCCTACCCCCAATGAAACTGATTTGTGAGCCTTTCTCCCAACTTCTCCTATTCTTTGACCAAGAATAAACCTTGTATTATTGCTCAGTTGCAGCTTGGTCCTATCATTGGTTCTGCAATTCCATGAGGTGAAAAAGGACCAAGTTCGGGGTCCAAAATGGTAGTAAGTAAGAAAAAAAAAATAGTAGTAAGAACTTTTGCCCTAGTCTTTTACAGTAGTTAAACTAGTGTACAAAGGACCTCAAATTTACTATGTACTTGTGAATAAAGTTCTTTCAACTAAAAGAAGAAGTAAAAGTGGGTAATACATTGGTTATAGTCACTAAGACTTCTTTATCCTTTTTTCTAGATAAGTCTTAGTCACCCTCTTTCTATTATGTAAAGAATAAGAAATTTCAGACTGGTATAAACTTGAAGCAATTATTTCTTTATTAAAATTGTTTTATTTTATGAAAAAATAAAAGTTTATATGAAAATAAGAGAATAACAAGTTAATATACTGTGTTCTTTATCTCCAAAGTAGTTACTCAGAATACAAGACATAAACAAAAGAGGAAACTGATACACAAAAGGTTTCAATGAACTAAGATAAATTAGTAGTATAAATGAAATAAATTAACATGTAATTGAAATATTTTTGAAACAATGGAATATGTAATTTGGAGAAGTATTTAACTTTTCCTTACTTCCTGTTTATTTATGTTTCTCCTATTTTGCTTTTTGTGTGTGAGCATACATACATATGTAATACATTGATTTATGAACTTAATTTGTTGTATAGTTTTGGGAAAGGTGGCTGCATTTGTGTTTGTATGGGGAAAATGGCTGTGGTCATGTTTGTTACTTAATATGGAGTTTGGGAATAGAAGCAAAATTTTGCTGAATGCTTTTGTTTGTGAACCCAGGCATTACTATATATTGCCCTAGTCTTTTACAGTAGTTAACCTAGTGTACAAAGGACCTCAACTTTACTATGTACTTGTGAATAAAGTTCTTTCTCATATAAGCGGAACCAAGCTACATTTGAACGTATGTGTCTGACTTATTTCACTTAATATTATGTTCTCAAGTTAAACCCATTTACTTACAAATTTATCTTTCTTTAATTCTACTGTTGTCTTTTATAGTTGAGGAAAAGAACTCTGAAGGGCTGTACTGTACTAAACCCCAGAACTTGCCACTGACTAGTGCTACAGCTTAAAATAGATCTCTTCCATATTTCCACGAAGACTAGAGGTCCACACTGGGAGTGATGGCACACATCTGTAATCCCAACCCTTGAGAGGCTGAGAATTACCACAAGTTACATAGCGAGTTCAGGGCCAGCCTGAACTACATAGTGAGAGACCCTGTTTCAAAAAACAAAAAGTTTGAGAATCTAATTGGTTTAATGTTAACGTTTGTGTTGGAAGTTTAAAAAATAATAAGTACTATTCATCTTTCTTTTGACTTGTGGTCTCATTCAGAATCTGTGGTAAAGCACAAAAAAGAAAATCTGTTATAAACAGATAGGTATACAGACCACCACACACACACACACACACACACACACACACACACACACACGACGGAGAGGGGGTGGGACACATGTGAAAAACAATGAAAGAAAATGAGACCAGAGACAAGATTTTCGTGAGGTTCCTGGAACACAAGGTTTATCAGTTCCATCTGTGGCTTTTTTGGATATTGCTGGTAACATTAATTTTTGAAATAATAACCATAACCAGAGACCTGACAACTTGTTGGGCAAGTAAATCTAGAATATCATCTTTCAAACTTTAGTGTATCTAAGAACCATGTGCAAAGGTAGGTTTCTGGCCACCTCCCTAAGATGAGAGCAGGTGGAACTGGGTCCAGGAATCTGATTTTAATTGGTGGTACTGGGGGTAGAACCTAGTGTCTTCATACTAAACTACATTCCTGGTTCCATTCTCCCCTTTTTAAAATATTGAGCCAGGGCATCAATAAATCTGGGTCAGTTGCTGGGTTCTAACTTGTGATCCTTTTGCCTCAGTTTCCCAGACTTCTTGGATTACAAGTGTGTATCACCATGTACTATGGATGGTGGAATGTACAGTTAGGAGGTTCCCCAGGAAGCTGGGCATGGTAATGTGCATTTATAATCCCAGCACTTGGGAGGCTGAGGAATGAGGATCGCTGCTATGCTTTGTATCTGGATGTCCCCCAAAATTCTTATGTAGTCATAGGGGCAGGCTTCTAGAATTTGTAACTGATCATGGTCCAATGCTGGGACTATGGATGTGAGTGTTACACTCACCCTAGGGTGGGTTGCCTACATACAATATAAGGGACAGAAAAAATTTTCTATACACACTCTTCTCTTTTGCTCTTGTCACTTTTGGTATCTGCTACTGCCATGAACTGTTGCCCTTCTGCCACACCACCCTGCCTTGGAGCCAACGGATTATAGACTGAAACTTCTGCATACTGTAAGCCAAATAAATCTTTCCTTCCTTAACTTTGAGGGTTGAGTATTTTATCTCAGCAATGAGAGAAAAGTACCCAAGACAAAATTTAGTACCAGAAGTGGGGTCACTGCTGTGACAACCCCTAATCATGTGATTTAAAGGTCTTTGAGAATGGCTTGTGGGAAGTTTGAAAAGATTTGGAAATGTCACCTGAAAGAGTAGAGTAGTTGGAATGTCTTAGAACTTTCTGTATGAGAGACTCTAGTCAGAGCTCAAAAATCAGAAGACTGATAAAAATGCTGTCAGTAAAGACCAGGTTTGGGAGGGTTTTGGTGGAAAGGACTGCATTGGCTGTTGGACTCCAGATGATGTATGTTATGGCTTGGCAGAAAGTTTGTCTGTCTTTTGCTTATGTTCAACGATTTTGCTTGAGACTAAGATTAAGCAAGGTGGAATAATTAATCTGGAAGAAGAAATTTTACGGCAGTTGAATGTTGAGGCTGTGGCATGGCTATTATTGGGAGCTTTTAGCCAAATTTATGTTTCAAATCAAGAGCAAAGAGCCAAGCAGGATGATGTAAAACATTGTGAGTTTGGCCCCCTTAAAAAAGCTCCAGTAAAGCTGTGGACAGCAAAGATAGAGCTAAGAAAATAGGGATTGCTAAGAAGGAATAGGAGAATGTAAAAATGGCCTGAGGACATCAAAAGAAGTTTCAAGTCTCCATCGTTTGAAGCCTCAAAACTGCAAAAGTGGAAGGCTTTGCTTTAGGAGTAAATATACAGAGAACCATGTTCCAGAATGGTGGCAGCCACACTATGTTCCAGAATGGCAGCAGCAACTGCACCAGATTCCGAAATGGTAGTGACCACACCAGGTTCCAGAATGCTGGCAGCATAGAGAATTTTTTCCTTGGAATTGGATTCAGAGTACCAAGCAATTCTTGGCCTACAGTCAAGAGACAAGAAAGACTGGCTGCTGCTGCAGCTGGCAGCAGATCTTGGCATCATCTACACGGTGCTGGTTTTATGCCCATGTAGAATGCAAGTGTTCTGAGGTTGAATCTTCCACCCAGATTTCAAAAGAAGACCTGGGAGGCCAGCAATGTGCCCCTGAGAGGGGGCAATGTGTGAAGTTGTGAGTGTGGAGCCAAAAGTGCAGTGGAGAACCCAGAAATTTAGAAAAGCCAAGAACATGGATCATCTAAGGAAAGCTACCAGGATTGAGCCGAGTGTGCTTAAGAGAGAAGCCTTGGGAGCCATAACCAGGAGAAGTGCCAGAAGGATGGAGTTATGCAAGACTTTTGGAGCTCACAATTTTGCCCCAGATTACTTTGGATGTTCCATATGGAACCATAGGACTTAATATTTGCCCTGCTGGATTTTGGACTTGCTTTAGTCCCAATGCTTTGTAAACCTATCTGTATGTTTTGAAATGGACATGTTTATCTTGTGCCACTGAGTGCTGGAAATGTTTAACTTTCTTTTCATTTGATCAGGAGCTCACAGGTAAGGGTTTGCCTTACATTGCAGACTTGGAACTTGTACTTTTCAGCAATGCTGAAACTGTTGGGATTTTGGCAACTCTTAGAGATATACTAAATGCCTTCTGCATAATGGGTATGCATGAGTTTTTGGGGGACAGGGGAGGAATGTTAGGTTTGTCTCTATGTCCTCCTAAATGTGCCCTCCTCATGTAGTCATGGAAGTAGGCATCTACAGTTTGTGATTGATTCATGGTTCAATGCTGGAATTATGGATTTGAGTGCTAGACCCATCCTGGGGGGGGTTGATAGCCTACATATAAGGGACAGTCTTCTTTGCGCTCCTCCTTTTTTGCTCTTGTTGGTTTTGTTGTTTTCCACTACCATCAGCTGATGCCCTCTGCCATGAGTCACCCTGCCTTGGACTTGGAAGATTATAGAATGAAACCTCTACAGATCGTGAGTTAAATAAACCTTCCTTTCCTTAATTTTGGGCACTGGCTATTTTGTCTGAGCTAGAGAAATGTAACGGACACAATCACTATAGGTTTGGGGGCAGCCTAGGGTACATAGTGAGTTTAAAGCCTGCTTAGATTATATAGTGAAACTCTGAGAAAGAAAAGAAGGCAAGTATTATAGTTTATGTCTACATATCCCCTAAAGCCTCATATACTCATAGTTAGGGATTTTCAGAGGTTTCAGGATCTAGAGTGTGTGATGCTGGAATCAATAATATGAGAATAGTAAATCAGTCCACTGATTGATTTGGCATGGCTCTGGAACTGGACAATGGGAAGACCTTTCCTGAGTGTGAGTGCTACCTGTCCTAAGGGCAGGTTGTCTGGACAGAATGTAAGGAACAGAAAGAGGGCTACTGAGTTGCTTTTACTTGGCTGCTTTGCTGCCTTCTGCCTGCCATGAACTGTTTCTTCTTTGTATACCTTTCTGCCATGCCACACTGCCTTGGAGTCAGCCAACTATGAACTGAAACCACTACAAACTGTGAGCCAAGATAAAGTGTTCCTCCTTTAACTTTGGGTGTTGGGTATTTTGTCTCAGCAATGAGAAAAGTATGAAGCAAGCAAGCAAGCTTGCTCCCCAAATGACTGCTGGAGGGCCATGAATTACATATAAGGAACACTGAAAGGAGTAAGAATTACTGATACTTATCTGTGAGAAAAGGACTATTCTGAAGAAAGTAGAAATAAAGACTCTAAAGGCTCTGAGATTTTACCCTACTTGCAAGTCAACAAGGTAGCAGGCTGCATATTCAGATGCTGGTAGAAGACATGACACTCCTGGGTCAGAGAATAAAGGTCAATTTATTACTAATAATAGTCAGGGCATCTACAGAGCCAGGTTCCTGAGCCACATTCGTCACAAGCCTGTGTGATGAGGGATACTTCAGGATTCACTACAGAAGAGAAACCCAGAGTCTAGGAAACCAGAATGTTATACGATAATGATAACAGGAAGTAAGTCCACCAGACTTTTCCCTGGAGGCAGGCAATAGTTCTACCTTCCAAAGCTGTTCATCACAGAAATACCCTTGTTGGGGGTTCGGGGGAGGCTGTCAGGAAAAAGCATGCAGGGCTTCTGCTTTCAAAACATGCAGGAGCATGATACACAAGTCGCCTGCCAGCAGAGCCCAGGACTGGAAGCGGGTCAAGTGAAAGGTATCTGTAAAATAAACCCACCAAAGCAGGAATGGAGTTGGAGAGATTCTGCTCGCCATTAATGGCAAGAGTTCAGTGTGGTTCCTAGCTCCCCAAGCTAACTTTGCTTAAATCCTTAATCCCTGTTTTAATGGGGCCCTGCCCGATTTCCCTAAGCACTTCCCTATTTTTTCGCTTTAATATTCAATATGTCCTCGAGACAAAGGTATTATAGCCGTTTTACTCATAAACAGAGTCTCGTGATTGTGAGTCATCCCCACAGGCCAAGAACCAATGCCTGTCACTACCCTCCTCCCTCAAGTGTTTCCCCGAGGCCGGAATAAGAGTGACCAAGACATGCAAACGCTGAATGCTACGGAGGGGATGCGTCACTAAGAAACCACTACCTGCTCTAAGGGCTGAGGCCACTAAGGGTGCCTTAAGAACCCTCCTCTAACTAGGAACCGGGAGGTTAAAATCTCCGCTTTCTCCCACGTCTGAAACGACCAGGGACTAAGGAAAAGGTTCCTAGACTTTACTTCCCACTTCGAGCCCTAGTAGATGTTCACTGCTGCCCCAGCCCTAAAGCGACCCTAAGACGCTTCGGCGCTCCCATCAGCGGAAGTGAAGCGGAGCCGCTCCAGCACGCCCCTCACGATTGGCCAGCGCTGCCGTCGCTCAGCGGGCCGACCGGAAGTTGTTCGGTGACGCCCTTTCCGCCGCTTCTAACCGCCAAAAAGGTGGGAGGGGCCGGAGTGAAAGTTGCCGGAACTGGCTGCGGAGGCGATGGAGTTCAGTCCGGTGCCGTTGTCTGGGCCTGCTGGCTCCTTCAAGGAGGAGCTCCTCTGCGCCGTCTGCTTCGATCCCTTCCGTGACGCGGTGACGCTGCAGTGTGGCCACAACTTCTGCCGCGGGTGCGTGAGCCGCTGCTGGGAGGTGCAGACGACGCCCACCTGTCCGGTGTGCAAGGCCCACGCGTCGCCCGCGGACCTGCGCACCAACCACACCCTCAACAACCTGGTGGAAAAGCTGCTGCGCGAGGAGGCTGAGGGCGCGCGCCGCGGCGCCGGCCACCGCACCTCGCGCGTCTGCCGCCCGCACCGCGGCCAGCTCGGCTTCTTCTGCCTGGAGGACAAGGAGCTGCTGTGCTGCCTGTGTCAGGCCGACCCCCGGCACCAGGGCCACCGCGTACAGCCGGTGAAGGACACGGCCCACGATTTTCGGGTGAGACGCACCGCGCGGGGGCCGGGTGGCCGATGCTGGGCCGCAGCGCGCGCTCCCAGCGCGGCTCCGCCTCGTGGGGCTCCCGGGCCCCCAGCCGCCCCAATCGGGTACCCTGTAGCGGTGGGAGAAGGGAAGTAGATCCCAGGGAGAGCCGGGGTTCCTTGGCGCCCCCGTGCCCGCCCTCGCTGTAGGGCCCAGGCCAGGCATCACCCCTTCTTTTGCCAGGGACCTGTGACCCGGGATCCTGGGAGCAGCACAGGTGTGCGAGACACAGTTTAGAATGGGGCAGGCAGGATCTGACCTGGATACGGAGCCTTAAGATTCGCAGTCGTCACCTTCCCCATCCGGCACCGCGGTTGGCCTGGTGGTGGGGTGAGGCCTCTGGCCCTAGCCCGCTGGTTTATTATGGTATTCTGGGTCATCGCTCTTTGAGCTTTCTAATGCCTGGAGTTCCAGTGGCTGTAAATAAGCTAAGGAGCAACTGTACAGAGCAAAAGCAACACATGGAGAAGTTTTTGTTGTAGGAAGGAAAAATGATCAGAAAAACTTTTGACCTTAACCCTTAGAAATACCATTTGTACTGTGGCAGTTTAAGTTAATGCTGTGAAACACTAGATTTATTAATCGCCTACTATTAATGCATCCAATCGACGGTTTTAACAGCTGGTTAGTTGACAGGAAGCTGCGTTTATTAAAGGGAGGTACTGCAAAAACCTCCAATACATGGCAGGGTACTTCCTGGCTTCTTTTTAGATAGTTTGTAAGAAATGTCAAAAATGATACTGTTCAAGTCAAGAGGAAGGTAGGGTTGCTATCATGCACGTTTGAATGAGTATGCCTATTACTCCTGCCACCATATTTATTTAATAGTGGTCCAAAACAATGTTTTCCCCATATCCACTGGCAAAAATGCTAAGTTGTGATGTCAGAAAGCTGAAGTAAGTACCAGGTAGCCTGGGGCACTGGTGTGCTGGTTGGGGAATGGAGTTGGTTAGGTACGATCAGAAGATGGACAGGAATCAGGCAGAGCACCAAAGTTGGGACCTGGCCAACATTCAGGAGAACTGGGCTACGGAGCACACACTCTGGACAGTTTGCTGTTAATCAATACCTATCTTGTACTGCTGGGTCCTAAGGTGTTATGATTTCTATCTAGCTATCCCCCTAAAGCCTCATGTGCTAATAGGTGGGGCTTTTTGGAGCTGGCTGAATTTGGGGCATGGGAACTGGCATTAAAGATGTGTGATACTAAGTCCATTGATTGGAAATAACATAGAAGGCAGGTAGTTTGCTGCTTTCTGCCTTCTGCCTGCCACACTGAGCTATTTCTGTTCTGCAGTCTCCTCTGCCGTGCCACACTGCCTTAGAGCCAGCCATTTATGGATTGAAACCTCTACAAACTGAGTTGAAATAAATCTTTCCTTTTTAGATTTTGTTTCAGTAACAAGAAAAGTAACTAAGACATGCGAGTACTTTAGGACATGAGACAGACAACAGTTTCCACCCTCAGGGGAGTTTCCAGAAGAGACCTGAGGGAGGTGGACATGTTAGGTGACCCAGGGTGAGGGAAGGTGGTTCAGGAAGAGGCAGCAGCATATGAAAGTGTCCAGAGCCTGACTGTCAGAGTACCAAGATAATTTCACAGTAGTTAGAATGATGTTGAAGATGCAGACTCAGATCTTACTTACCCTTTATCTTAGAGACCTCAGGGACCAGTCACAGGGTTCTGGTGCCAGAAAGGACACTCAGGGTTGTGGCTGAGAAGTTGGGAGTGGTCTAGTCCCAGATCTGAGAAGTGTGCAAGCTGAGTATAATCAACTTGATGTAGGGTGTAGCTCACTCATTTACCAGCTGTGGCGAGCTCTGAAAGTTTCTCAGTAGGTGACTTTGTGACAAGATACTTACTTTTTTTGTTTAAAAAAAGAAGAACAAGAGAAAAAAAAAAGGATCATTTTATACCAATTTTGAGACCAGTCTGATTATCAGAAATTATAATTACATGAACTAATACTTTTTGAGTATTTACTATGTGCTAGTTGTTTTTAAGTGTTTACATGTTAAAAACACCTTAATGTTCACAGAATCCTAATACTATATGTGAGTTCCTATTATTGCTGTAATAAATTGGTACAAACACAGTGGTTTAAAACAGCGCCAATTCCAGGTGTTAACAGGGCTATGTTCCTTTTGGAGGCTCTAGAGAAGAACATATTTACTTACCTTCTTCAGCTTCTAGAGACCCCTTCCTCCATCTTTAAAGTGTGATATTCCAACTTCAACTTCTGTTGTCAGATTACCTTCTTTGGCTGACTATGGTACCTCTTGTAATGACATTGGGCCCAAACAGATAATCCAGAATATTATACCATATGAGGATCCTTAATTTAATAATCTACAATGACCTTGTGCCAAGTAATCATATTTACATCTTTGGGGGAAGCATTATTCAGCTTGCTACAGGTTAATACTGTTATTCTCATTTTACTGTATAATGTTATACCATATAATGACACTGAGTCACGGTTAGAGTCCAGTAGGCATGACTGAATAAGCACACTAATCAGAAATTATAAGCCAACATTTCTAAGAAGGATGGTATGAGATATGATAACATTGTAAGAGGAAGACCTGCTCTTGTCTGATTTGACATAGAAAAAGTCAGGAACTGATTTCTTAGACACTGAAGGTTCAGAGAAGTAAGCAGGGGGCAGCTGAGTGAGTGAGGGACAAGAAGCAGTGATGGTGGGTTTGTGGGACCAGGGAGCAATAACTCAGGAACATTCTGGAAAGAATGAGGTCTAGCCACATTCTACAAGGCACCAAAGGACATCGTAATAAATTTGAGGTATTGTCCTAAGTGCAGTAGACATGATGGATGAATCAATGAGATTAAAGCATGACATATGTATTTAAGAGCTCTAGAAAGTATTTGTGCTGAGACACCTTAGAAAGACCTTAAGTGCCATGTTTTTTCAAACTTTAACAAAGGTCACAGTCTTAAAAGTACTCTAGCAGTGTGCCCTAAACATGTTATTACTTACATATACATAAACACAGAACTGCTATAAATTCTTCATGCCTATATTACATATAACCAATAAAATACCAAAAAGTTGGCAGGTTAAATCCATGCAAAACTACAATAGGGTATAATTCCAGTTATAATCTGATTTGCAAGGTTTTATTGTGTTGAAGTGAAATCTCTGCTCTTGGCCAAGATCCTCTTGATTAATTCTGTCTTTACTTTGTTGCAAGTGATGACTTGCCAGCCTGTTTTCCTGTTTGAAGAGCTCTGAAAGTCAGGTGACCTACTTGGCCTACTTTGGCTTCAGAACATCTTGTGCTGAGTGTGATTCTGTTCTGTTCTTTTTTTTTTTTTTTTTTCCTTTGAGGCACAATACCAATACCTGCATCTTAAAGAAAGGAAGTTTTATTTTGGTTCATGTTTATAGTCCGTGGTCAGCTGCTTTCAAGGCAGGACCACAGGGCAGAAGGGGGCATAGCAGGTGAGAAGCTGCTATAGGAAAGCAGAGAGATCAAGAGAGAGAGATCTGGGAAATCTCTCTGGGAGAGAGAATCTTCCAAGCTACATTTCCAGTGAACTGTCACCCTCCTCACCACTGACCCCATCTCCCAGTGTAAGTCAACTATAAGCCCCATAATCTGGTCACTTTCCAAAGACCCCACGTATGAATGCAAGAGGCTCTTAGAGGACATCCAGATAAAGAAACATAACAGCTTGCTCTCGGTCCCAAAAGACTCATGTGCGTTCCTTTATGCAAAATGCATTTATTCCATCTTAAAAGAGTTGCCAAAATCCTAACAGTTTCAGCATTGCTGAAGACATAAGGCAGTTTCAGCATTCCTGAGACATAAGGCAAACTCTTAGCTATCAACACCTGTAAAATCAAAAAGAAGCTAAACATTGCTAACATAAAATACTGCAAGATGCATATTCCCATTCTAAAAGAGAATAGGGGATATAAACCAGTGGGACCAAATACAGACCAAAGCCTTGCAAGGCAGATATTTATTCTTGTAGCTCCATGTCGAGCATCTCAGACTAGTTGTGGTGACATGTGAATTTTGGAAGGCTGCTATAATATTTCTGCAGTTATATCCCTCGTGGCATCACTCTTCACCTAGCTTTGGTTTCTCCTTGTGGCTTTCCTCAGATGCTCCACTTCCCTGACTTTTCCACCTTCCTGGGATCTCTGCTGAACTTTTGGGTTCACTCTCACAGCTTCATGTGCTGCCCACTCAGGCACACTGCTTGGCTTCCCAGGCCTTCTTCTGAAATTTGGGTGGAAGCCTCCCTGACCCCACATCTCTTGCATTCTGCATACCTGTAAAACCAACACCATGGAGATGGGGCCGAGGTCTGCTACTGACTCCAGCAGTAACCAGGCCTTTTTGCATCATGGCTGCAGGAGCCTCTGAGTGCCTGGGTTTGCTGAGCACTGTGAACTCAATCCCAGGAAATCAGTTTCCTAAATGACGTTTCTTCAGGATATTCTGGGGCTCATTTCTTAAAGGAAAGGCTTTCACCTTTGAGTCTTCAAAGAGTGAGATCTTTGGGGTTCATCAAATTCCGTCAAGGCATTCTTTGTAAAATCCATGTAAAATATTTGACTTCTTTTTAATGCACATCTTTTCAGTCCTCAACCTTTCCTCTGTTCCAAATTTGCAGAAACTTCCTTCTAGGGCAACGCACTTGTAAAATCACTCAGCAGTGCCATTTGTTCTTGATTTTTAATGTAGAATTGGCTAAACGTTCTCAATGGTATCCATGTCATAGCCTGAATTTTGTGCAGCTTTGAAATTTCCTCTGTCAGATAAATTAGTTCTCTGCCCTTAATCTTGATCTCCTGAAAAGTCTCAGGACATGAGTAAAATGTAGACAAATTTTCTGCCACAGTGTAAGTCTCATGGCTTAGAGTTCAACTGCCACTGGAATCCTTGTTCTGAAAAGAAACTACCTGCATCTGATCTTTCACCTTCTACCTTTTTTAATCAGCATTCTAATCTTGTGAGCCCTGACCAGAATCTTCTGTTAATCTCAGACTACAGTATTCTAAGACTTCTCTAGCCGGTGTCTGCTAACTTTCTCAAAGTTCCTGTGAACCAATAACAAATGGTCAGGTAGCCTCACAGCGACGCCACCACTTCTCTATCATCAGAATCTTCATCACTTTCTTCCTTGCTGGAATAAAATAGCCAACACTAACAAGGAGAAAAGGTTTATTTCGGCTCACTGTTGATACAGGTTTCAGTCCACAGTCAGTTGGCATCAAAGTAGGACGGCATGACAGGGGCATGTTGGGGGGAGACAATGAAGAGAGGAGCTGAGAAAGAAGATAATCCCTTCCAGGCCATGCCCTCAGTGACGCATCTCTTTTCCCTCTATGTCCCCTTTCCTAACAGCAAGTCAGATATAAGTCCTATAATCCAGTCACCTTCCAAAAGCCCTACCTATGAGAACACACATCTAGATACAAACCATAACACACTGGTAGTCCAAGACCATGGAAGTAAGCTGATGACCACTTAACCGTTAACATATCTATGTGTGCTTGTGCTGAAATGGGGAACTGAAAGCATGTATCATACAATTTATTAGGCAATTCAGAATTGGCTTATGTTAGTGTTTCCTTAGTCATCACTGAATAGAAATACTAATTTAAAACACTCCAAAGGCTGGGGATATAGCTGAGTCACACAGCTCCTGCCTGGCAAGTATAAGGTCCTGAGTTTGATTCCTTGTACAAAAATAAACAAAACACTCCAAAATACACAGACTAGACCAACAGGGGACTGTGTAGAGATGGTTATATTTTACTAATAAAGAATATAGAAACTTGGAGAAATGCAGTCACTCACTGAAGGAAAAATAGAGTTACTTGTGGGACAGGAAATTAAAGTGGCAGTGTTCTCAGATCAGAACTCAGAGTTTTTTGCATCTTCCATAGCAGACCTTCCTAGATACTTCTCCAAGTCCCAGGCCTCTAATCTGCATTGTAAAATGCTTTCTGCCTCCCCAAGGCCCCCAAACATCTCATCCTATTGCAGGGTCCTCACAGAGTCCAGGCTTATGATCCATGTCAGGTCCAGGTGGGGTGAGGGTTTTGGGAGAACCATACTGTCTTTGGCAGCAGTTAAAGGTTTAAACAACTGTTTCATCTCACCAGAGACCAACACAACTTGGGCTCATATGCTAGGCCTGTGTGTTAGCCGTGTCCCTTTCCTCTGTGTTTCACATTTCCATCTATAAGACGAGGCACAGATTCTTATTTCACAGAGATAATGTAGAGATCAGATGATGCCATTTAGGTACATACCTAGCATACTTCCTGGCACATAGTAAGCACTTAGTAAGAACTGGCAGTCGTATAATTAATGAATGTTACTAGAGTCATTTTTATTGTTTTTACAAAGAAAAAACTCAAAAAGCTTTCTTAGAATATAGAAAGCACCAAGTATGGTGGTACATACCTATGATCCCAGCTCTTGGGAGGCTGAGGCAAGAGGATTGCTGTGAGTTCATTGCCAACTTGGGTTGCATAGAAAGTTCAAGGCCAACCAAAACTGCATAGTGAGATCCTGGAAAAAAAAAAAAAAATAGAGACAGAGAGGGGGAGAAGAAAGAGAAAAAGAGAATGATAGACCTCAAGTAAAAAAGGTAAGAAACCAACCTAAAACTCATAGTGGCTCTTTAGGGTGTCCAAGGAAGTCAGAAACAATTAAAATGTTAAAAAACAGAAGTTGCTAACCCACATTTGGGGGTGCTGATGTTTTTCACGTGATCAAGCAATGTTAGACATCAACAGAGGGCTGGAGTGAGGCCGGGCGCGTTTAGTGGTGCATGTCTGCACTCCATGGTAAATGGCTGGATCCACTCCTGTTTCAGACCCACATATTACGACTGCAGACCAATGCAGCTCCAAGAACTGCCAAGGGAGCCTATTGTCTGTATAGTAAGCACACAATTAGGGACTCCGGTGCAGCCCGGTCCAGTCCTGGCCCTCAGCAGGATGCCCTTCTCTGCTGGACCCATGACCAGCCTGTCAGACCCGGCACCTTTCCCTGCTCCGCCCTGACTCCCTGTCTCACCTGTACTGGCAAAAAACACAGGGCACTGGGTTAGAGACACCCAGCAGCTATTTCTGCTCTTGAACGGACATCCGGCTGAGAGTCAACTGTAGTTACCGTTCGGCTGTGCCTGCGGTGCTTGGCAGGACTGGGTTTGGTAACATGGTCATTATGTTCCTGTGAAAGTGGAATTCCAGGGTAAATGTGTGTTGCCCTTCTTGTATGACCTCCAGCCCTAACTTGCCTTCCTCCTCTTCTCCTGGCAGGCCAAGTGTAAGAACCTGGAGCACATGCTGCGGGAGAAAGCCAAGGCCTTCTGGGCCATGCGACGTTCCTATGAGAACATCGCCAAGCACAACCAGGTGAGTGAGGGCTTGGGCTGAGTGGAGAGGTGGGGACACCCAGGGAAGTTGGGGAGAGGTGAGCAGGGTTGGCCCTGGATTTGACCAGTACTACCCACAGCGGAGCTTTTGACTTTGAGGCGGCCTTCCTTAGTGCTGAGGCCTTGTGGAGCCAAACTCTTCAGCACTGGTGGGGCTTCTTGTCTGTCTAAGACCTGGGCAGGGTCACACCAGCAGCCACAAAAAGCCACCTGGACTCTCTGTTCTGGTGACTTAAAATAAACTTCATCACATGCGCATCACTGTGTACTGGTGCCCAGGCCGATGATGAGCTGTGACTCCTTTGTGATTCCTCATTTCCTTTTGGTCCCTGTGTCCACTCAATGAAAAGTCCTGTCCCTTCTTCAGAATATACCAGGTCACAACTGTGCTGCTCACCTGTCTTTCCTCCTGCTTCCTCTGCACTAGAGTGATCTTTTGGAAAAACACATCAGATACTCTGTTCCGGCCGCCTGGGCCTCTCTGTTTCTTAAACTAGGCAAGTCTGTTTCCCGGGCCCTATGTATAGCTTCTTTGCCATTAGAATCTCTGCTCCCGTGTCCTTCATTACCCCAAAAGGGCCCTTCTCTTTCACTTGATGTCTTGTCTCTTGGGTGTGTGTTCTCCAAGACACTGCATTCTTTTTGATCTCCTGTCATCTCAGCATAAGGAGAGCAGGCACACAGTCTATTCCTGGTCTCTTGAAGTTCTGGGCCCACAGTGAGTGGCCAGTAATGTACTTGTGGCTTTCAGCGAACTCCATGGTGAGATGTCAGTGAGGCTCTTTCCAAGCCCAGTGCTGGACTTCAGGCACATAGGCACAGGAGGCCACTCTCTGGGGCAGCATGTGTGTGCCGCAGCTGGGATGAGTCCAGCTGGGTGGTAACTGCTAGCAGCAGTCACCTCGGGGAGTACTGGACAGAACCAGGGAAGCAGTCAGAAGCTGGCCTCCAGCAGGGGAGACAAAACAGGAGAAAGACCCCCCCAGAAGACCTGCTTTCAAATCTAAGCCTGTCTGCAGAAAACCTCTGCCAAACTAATCCTCAAAAGGAAAAGAGGACAGTTCCTTTTGAACTGCAGTTTGGGTTTAAGCATTCAAATAAGATAATACATAGAAGCACCCAACAGAGAGAAGCCATCCAACATTTCTGGTGTCTCAGAGACAACAAACTGACGTAAGAAAGAATTTGCTTTTTTTATTTTGCTGTAATATTTCAGACCCCTAAGCATGTAATGAAGTTCTATTTAAGAATGAGATTACGCCCTGCCATTTCTGGAAGGCACCTTTAGAAGTGTCATGGAGTCATAGGACTTCTTTTCTACCCTTTGACTTAGTCGCTTCTGTGCCCAAAGTGACTTGACCGGCTTGCTATGGACAGAATGGACTGGGATACCGTGGGGGAGGGCTGTTATCCGCCTGACCCAAGCAACCGAAGGCTCTGAGGATTTGTATGGAGAGCCGTGAAGTCTCTAGAATTCCAACTTGATCATTGCTTTTCCTGTCAGAGCCCATGAATCCAACTTGATGGTGTAGTATGTGTCTGTGTTTACCTGTTTACGGTGAGGCTTTTGTGACCTTCGGTGACAGAGGCTGGAGTTGCTGTGATACTTGCTGAATTTTCCTGCCTCTATTCTTTTGTATCCTGAAATAGAATCACCTGAGGTCCCACTTTGTCTACCACACGAGTGATCAGTCCTTTTAGCCTGAGGTTTCAGCGTGTTTTCTGTTCTTATTTGCATCTCTTTGATTACTGGTGAGTTTGTATGTCTTTTCTCAGTACAGGAAGTTCCCAACTTAAAAATGTTCAAGTTGCAGACTTTCACAGATATGAGTGGACCTCACATTATGAACATTAGTAGATGCCATCAAATTGTGGTAGTAACTTACAGGTCTCCTGGACATTGTCACAGTTGTGCTGTGTGTGCTCATTGACAGTGGACAGTGCTCATCAGAGCCCAGGGTGTCTGGAAGTAAGGAGAGCAGGGCTGATGCAGAGGGGCTGCTAGGAAGTCCAAAGCAATACAGATACATTGTATATTTGCGTTACAGCTGTGTGGTCACACTGTTAGACTTAGGAGTGACTCCAACATACGAACATTCTTCTGGAAAGGAGCCCAGGACTCAGGGATTTACTGTACCAGTTTCTTAGCAAATGCCAGTTCATGCCCTCCCCACTTTGCATGTCCTGGGGATTGAACCAGGGCTTCCTGCATTCTAGGCAAGTGCTCTACCACTCAGCTACACCCCAGCCCTAATTTATGTTCTTTTTTTTTTTAAACTTGGGATCAAACTCATGACCCGGCGCTTGCCAGGCAGGAGCTTGCTCCACTGAACTAAATCCCTGGCCCTTAAGTTCTTTTTTATTCTTGGAGTAGTTGTCTTTTTTCCTAGTGGATTTGTAAGAATGCTTATGTACATTAAGACGATTAAGTTTGTCAAATAAGCTTGTTACAATTATTTTTCCTAGTTTGTTATTTCTTTTTCCCTGAGTCATTTTCACTTTTTTGTTTTCTTTGGCTTTATCATCTTTTCAGAACTGTAAGTGTATTTGAACTGTTAGGCCCAAAACTGAGGTTATAATCTGCCTTAACTAGAGCCCATATTTGGAATTGATTTTCCAATGGTTGTCTTAGAATTATGTGTATATATTTAGCTTTATTAATAGTCTTTCCATACAAAACTTCTGATGTTATATTCAGTTATCTCAGTCTTTCAACCGTCTCATTTTCATATTATACTAAGAAATGTCTCTTTCATTTCTCAGGTAAGAAATAATTTCCTTTCTCTAAGTGTGTTTTGTCCACAACTTTTGTGTGTGTGTGTGTGTGTGTGTGTGTGTGTGTGTGTGGTTATGATTTGGAGTGTACATGTTAAGATAATACTGCCTATTATTTAAAAAAAGTCTCTGCGACTGCTGTCATGCATGGGCCACCGCCAGAGTGGAGACAGGCAAACCCAAGCTGTTTGTGGACTACAGGTTTGCGGGGTGAGAACAAGGCTATACCAGCAAGCCAGACCCTGGGAACCAGTGCCATGTACAGGCCACTGCCAAAGTGGGGCCAGCCAGACCCCAGCCCCTTTTGTTGCGCAGGCTGGCAAACAGGAAGTACAATCCCCTTCCCCATTCCTACCCCATAAGCGACCTGCTGATCCAGAGGAGCACAGGCTGTGGTGAAATACAATTGGATGCTTGTGGTGTTTGGTGTTTCACTGACTTTGTAGCTCTAGGGCCACTGGTCTGATCACAGATTTAGAGGATGGCAGTACACAGTGTGGCATCTAGGGGGGAATCTCATTCTGAGGATTGTAGCCATTCTTGATTCCCTATTATCTTGTGTTGAAGTCCTATATCATTTTCATTGATTTGTTGTGTTGGGGCCTTTTTTTTTTTTTTATGTTAAATATGATGGCAGGAGCAGCTTTTTCAAAGATAGCAGATACGTTATGGTAGCCATTCTGGATTTACTATTGTCTTCTTTTGAAGTCCTTTATTGCACTCATTGTTTTGTTTTTATTAGTTCTATTCTGTTCTGTTTTTTACTATGTCTGAAGGTATCTGAAGCTATTTTGAAAACAGCAAAAGGGATTATGGTAATCACTGTTGATTTCATAATGTTTTCAAGTCCTGTATTACTTATACTGGTTTGTTTTGATTGGTTTTATTGTTTTATTTTCCTTGGTTTTATCTCTTTAAAATAAATTTTAAAAAAATAAACAAAAAAACAAAAAGCCTCTGGATCAGGCAAATGAAGGTCCTAAAATTTGTAGGTATGTTAACTTTTTTAAATTGTTGCTGTATGGCAATGGCAGTGCGTACCTAAAATCCCAGGACTCTGAGAGGCTGTGATAAGAGGATCGGAAGTCTGAACCCAGACTGGGTAACTTAGCAATGTAGAGACCCTTTGTCAGAATAAAAAATAAAAAGGGGCTAGGAATGTAGCTCAGCGAGAAGGCCTTGGGTTCATCTCTATTACCACCACGAAAAAAAACCCTGTTATTTGCAAGAAACCAGTGTGGTGACATACACCTGTAATCTTGGTGCTTGGTTAAGCAGGATGGCAAATTTAAGGCCAGTCTGAAAAATCAAAACAGAAATGCTGCTTTTGTGATACTTCATTTCTGTGATTCAGGAGTTCTCTTGCTGTTGTTTTATCTATAGAAATTCTATATAGAATTCCTTTAGAACATGGAGTTCTTACTGCAGCATGAAGGTCACTGGCTGGGGGACAGCTGAGAATCCCATTTCTAACCTTCTCCAACTCCCTGGTGCAGGTAGAGGGTGCCTGGCTGCAGAGCCGTATCCGGGAAGAGTTTGAAAAGCTCCGAGAGTTCCTGCAGAAGGAGGAGCAGGCTACACTGGATGCCATGACTAATGAGGCCAGACAGAAGCAGCTCTTGGCTGACCAGAAGATGAAGCGGCTTGAGGAAGAGACTGAGATGCTGGCCCATGAGATCGAGCGGCTGCAGGCGGAAATGAAGGAGGACGACATCTCTTTTCTCATGGTGAGGTATTCAGCATCTGGATTCAGGGATGGGACCAGATGTTCAGGGACTAGGCACAAAACATGGCACCAGTCTGGCCAGCCTAGAGCTCCATGGCTCCCCAGCACCTGGCCCGGAAGGGCTAAGTTGATCCGCTCTTAGCATCAGAGGCTGACAGACTGAGGAGAGTGGAGCCTGAGAGTCTCATCTCTGCCCCTTTCTCACATTTTTTTGTTTGTTTTTTTAAAATAGAGTCCTTAAAAGTTACTCAGTTACTGAAATTTCTTTATATAAATATGATGTCCTGGTATTTTCTCTTGTTAAGAAAAGGATGATTCTGTTTTTTTTTTAATAGTGTTGAGTTCATTTTTCTTTCATTTATTGGTTTTGTCATTGCTCTTTACAAAAAAGTTTCTGTAACTCAAAAGCTACTTTATAAGTCAGTCAGGAAACCTATCAGGGTACCTACCTGTGCCCCTGCAGGCAGCAGACATCTCTGGGAAAGGGGAGTCTGTCCAGCAGAGCGAGGAGGGTCAGAGCCATCAAGCGGGAAAGTCCCATGTGAACTACGACCTTTGCAGATCCTACAAAGCCTGGAGCCACTGGTCCCGGTCCCCACATTGCCTGATTACAGAGGTGCCTGATGGGATTAAAAGTTGGGTTCCTTGCCAGTTCTGTTGAGGACATTGGGAGAGTTGTCCTGTCTAGTGCCCAGAGTGCTTCCAGGAATGCTTTCGGCTTAAAGCTATTTTTATTGTTGTTGTTATTGTGCTACAATTTGCATACTGTACTACATAATTCACTCACTGTTTTAAAGTTTATTTCTTTTAAAAGACAGGCTCTTGCTTTGTTACCCAAGTTGGCTTCAAACTCTTGGGTTCAAAAGATCTTTCTGCCTTAGTCTCTTGAGTAACTGGAACTATTAAGTGCGCATACCCTGACTTCATTCACCCATTTAAAATAGCCAGTTCTCCAGTTTTCAGTATGGAACAGAATTGTGCACCCATCACGACTGTGCCTTTTAGAACATTTTATCACTCACAGAGAGGTCTATGCCCTTCAGCGATCACATCTGAATCCTTTCTCCCCCAGCCACTGGCAACCAACCTTCTTTCTAGACTTGCCTAATCTAAACATTTGTCATAAATGGGATTGTTCACCTTTTTTAACTGGCTTCTTGCATTCATCATGTTTTGAGGTTTTATCTGTATTACAGCATCTATTAGTGCTTCTTTCTTAGTATGCCAAAGAAAATCCCATTGTATATTTTACTGGTTGCATTGATCGTTGTTCGGGTTGTTTCTACCTTTTTCAGTACTGGAGATTGAATCTAGGGCTTTTACGCTGAACTGTATGCTCAGCCCTTTTTTTAAAACTTTGCGACACAGTCTCACTGAGTTGCCCAGCATGGACTTGAACCTACTATTTTTGTGCCTCAGCCTCATAAAGTATAGCTGTTACAGGCAGGTGCCACTGTGCCTGGCTTACTTTTTTATTTTATTGGCAATAAACATTCATGTACCATTTATTTATGGATCTGTTTTCATTTCTCTTGAGCATATTTATCTAGGAGTAGATTTGCTGAATCTAAAGTATCAGGTTTCACTGAAGATTTGCTAGGCTGTTTTGTAAAGCAGCTGTACTATTTTATATTCCCACCAGCAGTGTCTGAGTAATCCAGCTTCTCCACGTGAACTGTTTTTAGTAGCTGTGCTGCTGGGTGGGGTGGTATGTTACTGTGCTTTTGATTCCAGTTCCTGATGACTAATGATGTTGGCTATCTTTCATGTGCCTATTGGTCATTTGTAGCTCTTCTGTTGAGAAATGTCTGTTCCATTTCTTTGCCCATTTTTTAATTGGGCTATCCTTTTGTCATTCATTTGTAAGAATTCTTTATCTCAGGTCAGGGATATAGCTCAGGCCTAAGTGCCTGCTTGCCAAGTGCAAGGTTCTGAGTTCAATTCCCAGTGTTCCTCCAAAGATTTATCTCTGTGATTCACTTTGAGTTAATTTTCTATATAGAGTCACGCTTCAACTTTATTGTTTTACATGTCGACATCTATTGTTTTACATGTGCCATCTTTTTTTTTTTCCCCAAGACTGTTCTCTTCCCCATTGAGTGATCTTGGCCCTTTGTAGATAGTTGACAATTAACTTGAGGGTTTGTTTCTGGACTTTGAATCCCATTTCACTGATTTATATGTCTGTTTTGGGATTTTCTGTGGGATTTTTTTTACTTTGAGACAGGGTGTCACCAGGTTGCTCAGGCTAGCCTCAGACCTGTGATTCTCCTGCCGCTTCAGCTTTCTGAGTAGCAGTGTTACAGGTCTGTACTACTGTCTGGCTATATGTCATTTTCATGTTAGCCTCACGCTGTGTTATTACTGTTAGTGAGCATGAGGCGTCTAACTTTGCTCTTCTTTTTCATGATTATTTTGGATATTCTCTGTTCCTTGAATTCCATATGAATTTTAGAGTCAGTATTTTAGTTTCTACAAAGAAGTCACCTGGGATTTTGAAGAGATGATGCTCAATCTGTGTATCAGGTTAGGGAGTATTGACATCATAACAGTGTTTGTGAATGTGGGAGCATGATTCCTCTTGAGGCTAGAAGACTCACATACTGTCTGTGTGTCTCTCTTTTCTCCTTCAGAAACACAAGAGCCGAAAACGCCGGTAAGTTGCCCGGTCTTGTGGAAGGGAGGGGAAGAGCAGGCAAAAGAAAAAACCAGTGGTGCAAAATCCAGTGGCTCCAGGGCCAGGCAGGTAACGCACAGTGGGTGGAACCTGGAGACAGGGGGTGCTGGCAGGTGAAGGGTCTCTCGAGGCATTGGTGCTGCCCGCCGGGATAGCAGTGGAGGGCTGTTTTCCCCAGGGCAAGGTCACCATCCACTGTGCGGGGAAGAGAGTCGCCTCTCTCTCAGCCCCAGGACACAGCCAGGGACATAGGTGGCTGTTGGGTTCTTTGGGATGAATAAGGAAGAACTTTGTCCCTCTGGTCGGAACTGTTCAGAGACCAGAGAGTGCTTTGGGTGTGAGTGAGTTCCCTGTCAGTGGAGGTATTCAGGACAAGTTGAGTAGTACTGGCTGTGTTGGACTAGAGCATTCATTGTTAAACTTCCCTCTAATTCAGACATCCTATGACAGGGATTTGTCACTCTGTCCGCAAGGATGGCAGCCCTGTTGGAGAACCTCTTCCTATTTGTATTTTCACAGCTAGGGTAGGATGAGCCCTCTGGCCAAATTCCTCAAGTGGGGTGGCAGCCAAATAGGCTTGTGGCCCAATCCAGGGGATTGTTATGGGGAAGATGACCAGGAGCTTAGACCCAGGGCAAGGGGACAGGTCCTGCTGCCCATTCCCTAGATGCCTGGCCCCAGCCCTGCACACCATGCCCAGTCCTCCCTTCCAGGCTTTTCTGCACCATGGAGCCAGAGCCTGTCCAGCCAGACATGCTTGTTGATATCTGCAAGTACCTCGACTCCCTCCGGTACCGTGTCTGGAAGAAGATGATCACGTGTGTAGAAGCCGGTGAGGGCTGCTGGCAGGTGGTCCAGGCAGGGGAAGCTCTCCTTGCCTGTAGGGAGCCAGCCACGCTGCCTCTGCTGGGCTCCACCTTGTCTCCCAGCCGGCTCCCTCCAGCCTGTCCCAGGCACGCCAACCGTTCCTCACCCTCTTGCCTGACTGCCAGCTCCTTTCTGGGCAGGACCTGGTCCTCTGTCACCTCTTCAGAACAACCACTCCCCTTCCTCTTCAGAACTGTAGCATGTAGAATGAGGGACCTCATGCAAGGTCACCACTCCCAAGATGACCACAGCCCATGCCAACCATTGTGTCCTGGAGTGTCAGGAAGGAGAATGTCTTGCCTTCTCTAAGACACTGTATGTTCCTAAGAGGAGTCCCTGCCTCTGTTGGTACCTGTGGTTGCTGTAACAAAGGACACAAATGGGGTTGCTTAAAATGACAGAAATTTATTCCCCCAGCCCAGGTGGTCACAGGGCCCTGGTCCCGCTGAAATGTGTAGAGTGGGCCCTTCTCACTTCTGCTGACTTCTGGGGCCCGCTGGCATTGCCTGGTTGACCCTGGCTCATGACTGCAGCACTTTGACCTCTGTTCTTTCTGTCACATGCCATTTTTCCTAGTATCATTGCCATTTTTCCTTTTTAAAGAACAATCATGTTGGGCTAAAGGCCCACGCTACTGCAGTCTGAGTTAATCTTAGCTACTTTGATTTGTATCAGCCCTGTTCCAAAATAAGGCCATATTCTGAGGGAACCTAGTCCAGTCTGTAACCCATCAGCCTGGGCAGTGCCCTGGATGCATGGACGGGTGGGACCCAGGTGTTTGGTGTAGGCCCAGCAAATGTTAGCCAGCGTGGCAGAAGAGGAGTGTCACATTGGCTGATTGTCCCCTTTTTCCCCTTCGTCTGCAGTGCCCTTCAGCCTGGACCCTAACACGGCGGCCGGCTGGCTCTCCGTGGCCGATGACCTCACCAGTGTCACCAACCACGGCTACCACGTGCAGGTGGAGAACCCGGAGCGCTTCTCCTCGGCACCCTGCCTGCTGGGCTCCCGCAGCTTCTCCAAGGGCTCCCACACTTGGGAGGTGGCCCTGGGTGGGCTGCAGAGCTGGCGGGTGGGTGTGGTACGGGTACAGTCGGAGGAGGGCACAGAGGGCCACTCGCCGAGCAACTATCACGACATGCGCTCCGGCTTCTGGTATCTGTGCCGCACACAGGGCGTGGAGGGGGACCACTGTGTGGCCTCGGACCCAGCCACGTCACCCCTGGTCCTGGCCATCCCACGCCGCCTGCGTGTGCAGCTGGAGTGTGAGGAGGGTGAGCTGTCCTTCTACGACGCCGAGCGGCACTGCCACCTGTACACCTTCCACGCCCGCTTCGGGGAGGTGCGGCCCTACTTCTACGTGGGCAGTGCGCGGGACGACAGACCCCCTGAGCCTTTGCGCATCTGCCCACTGCGCATCAGCGTTAAGCAGGAGCCTGACAGCTGAGCGGCCCGAGCACCATCCGGTGTCTGCCCCGGCCTTCGTGCAGCATTCCCCGCAGTTCCCTTCTCCCTGGGACTCCCAGCCCTGTACCTGTCTGGTGTTTGCCTCTTCTCTCCCCATACTTAAAAGCCCCCTAAGAGGCCTCTTGCCGTGCCCAGGCTCCCAAGAGTCAGGGCGCTTTCAGGGATGGTGTAACCCTCATTCCAGGACTTTGCTTCAGGAATGGGCCTGTTCTACAGTGTAGGTTTCATTGTCTCCCAGGTTTGGTGAGGCCAGTCATCCAGGTGACTGCTGTTGGAGAGTTTATCCCTCTGTTAGTGTGGCAGGCTATGCCACATGGGGCCACCCAGGGCCTGTTAGGAGGCAGGGGTGCAGGAGGAAGTACAGCCAGAGCCTTTGTCATTTTCTGAGAAGGAAAGGCGGGGCACAGTGGCCAGGGTGCAGGGGTTTAGTGTGGGCTAGTCAGAGCAGTTGCCACTGCTCCAGGGTGTAGGGTGTAGAAGCTGCCCCTGAGGGACCGGCGCTGGCCCTGAGAGCCGTGTAAGACAGGTTCAGGAGGCCATGGGGCCTGGCTCGGGGCTGGTGAGTGTCTCAGGATTGGGTCGCTGGGAAGTCACCTGTCAAGTCCCCACCTCCAGAGCTTCAGGAATACAGTATGTACAATACAGTTAATGCAGGGCCATGCCGTGGCTTTGGGACATGACCCAGGGATCAGTGCCACCTTCCGTTACTATGAAACTGCTGCGCAGATCTCACTGGGCAGACAGGCAGAGCTCACTGACCATCGACCTGCCCGTTTTTCTGTTAGTATTTGAATAGGCCCTTTCCTCAGAACCACGAATTCCAGAGCACTTTTGTTCCCACACTGGGTCTCAGTTTCCACCCCTATGAGACGACAGGCCTGGCAGCCCTCCTGTAATTTCGGGGGAGCAAGTTCCTCTGCTGAATTATTTCCCAGGCTGAGGAGGGAAGTTAGGAAGAAGCGAAGGGGTACAGTGTGGGGCCCCCATGGCTGGGACCCGAGACCCAGCAGAGTTGGGTGGGGAGGCATACACCCTCGTCTTCAATGCCTTGTCCTGCTCTGCCCACCCTGCTTGCTATTGCACTGCCACCTGTTGAGGCTCCGTGGGGTTCTCTCTGCAGTGTCCACCTTTTCTTTCTCAGGCCTGCAGGTGGTTTCTAGTTGTAGCCCAGGAAGCCAGACAGTAAAAACAAACATTCTGCCTTGGGTACAGTGTTTCAGTGGGGCCACATTCTTGATCAAAGATGTGGCATCCTGCCTCCTGCCTGTACCCCCACTTCATAAAAACATGTTTTAAACAGAGTGTGACTCCTGCCTGTTAATTGGTTATCAGTGTCTTGTGCACATTGGTTCTGTAACAAATGGGCTTGCGGGGTGGGACCACGGTGGCACTGCCACTGGTTTCAGCTGGGGTCGGGGGATTGAGCATCAGCGCACTAACACTGGGCACTGAGTGCCCGGTGCTGAGGGCCACAGTTGCTCCCAGCACCAGGGAGCCGGGTAGGTCTGCTGAGCCTTTGCCCTCCATGGCGTCAGTGTGATGGCCCTGACCTGAAGTTACTTTGTTATATATAGTTTTTTTAAATGTTTTATTTTTACCTTAGATGGAAGGCTTTTTTAAACATTAAAGATAATTTGATCTGGATATGGTGATACATACTTGTTATCCCATCACTGTGGGAAGTTGAGGCAGGGGGGCCGATCCAAAGTTCAGGCCCAGCCTGGGCAACTTTGGGAAGCCTAGGATTTAAAAAAAAGATACATTCTCTCAATATATTTCAGTGTTCTTGTTTCAAATTCCATGTTGTGGTATGCATTATTTTTGTTGTAATATTGTATTGAATGGAGTGATACTGCATTTTATTTATCAATTGGATTTTGGCTGTTTCCATTCTTGGCTACTATAATCTGCAGTGAACATTCATGTGCAAGATTTTACGTGGACTTGTCTTTAATTCTTTGTGGTAAATGAATACCTGGGAATGGATTTGCCACATCACTCGGCGACTCTGATCTTTGGAGAAATCGCCGAGCTGTTGCTCAGTGTGAGTCCCAGGTCCGTGCCCACCAGTAGACAAGGGTTCACTTAGCTGTCATTTTGGCAAGGGTGTAGGTGACTCACTGGCTGTGGTTTGCATTTCCCCGGTGGCTGATCATATTGAGCATCTTTTCATCTATTTGTTTATCTGCTGAAGAAAACTTCAGAACCTTTGCCCATTTTTAATTGGTTATTTGTCTTTTTATTCTAAATATAAGTCTGCTGCATATCTGACAAAACTCATCTGTGGGTTGTCACTTGATGGCCTTTCAAACTCAAACTTTTTAAAATTTTAATGATTTAGTTTTTTGTTATTTGCATATCCTAGTTTTGTTTGTTCTGTTGTGGCACTGGGCATTCAATCCAGGGACAATACCACCAAGGTACATTCTCTGCCCTTTGTATTTTGAGGCAGGTCACTGAGTTGCCTAGGTATCCTCGTATTTGAGATCTTCCTGCCCCAGCCTCCTGAATAGCGGGAATCGCAGACCTTTGCTTCCTGTCTTGGAGGGTAAAATTCCATCATAAGTATGTGGTCACTGGCTGAGAAGCAGAACAGTGAGTGAGGGGTTTTCCTGACCATGGTTAGTGGTGGGCACCTTAGGGGTACATTAAAAGAGCTCCCCCTGCTGGGAGAGGGGGAGGTTGTCCACTTCCCTGGCATGGGCCTGTTGGGGACGCCCTTGGCTGTCACTGTGTGCTCCCCACCCTGCTAGGAAGCGGCAGCTAGGCCTTCCGAGTCAAGATCTGTGTGCAGGGGCCACACTGTCACCACCCCAGCCTGCGATCAGGAATGCTGCTGGGACATAGTGACACTGTGATTCCATAAGATTGTAATGGGGCTGGAAAACTGTCGTCCAGTATTTTTTCCTTGGCCTTCTCTGTTCAGCTGCTTGAGTACGCAGAGCTTCACGTGTGCCCGTGGCCTGCCTGCAGCACCAGTGCGGCAGTGCACGGTGCAGCTTTGCAGCCTGGAAGTGCCTGCCCCAGGCCATACCATTGGGGTTGGTATAAGAGCCCTGCAGTGCTCACAAGGTGATGCAGAAGCCTCCAGGTATGCTTCGCAGAACATGTTACTACCCTAGCTCGGCAGTATCTAAAAAGGGGAAAGGGACACAAAACCTGAAATCCGGATGCCTGGCTCCAGCACCAAGCCTGTGCTGCACAGACGCCTGCTTTGGAGCACCTGCTCCCAGGTGCAGAGTGCCTGCTCCAGTTTTGGGACTCCAGAGAGGTGGCCGTGGTGAAGAGGCCCAGCACCATCCTAAACCTGCTATGGGCTTATGCGTTAGTTAGTTCTACAACTGGGAGACTGCATGTTACAATTACGATTCACAAGAATGAGGAACCCCAAAGAAAGATGAGAAACAGAACTACAAGTTACATTGGGAGTGCGTACATTTCCTCAGATATCTAATAAGATATAGCAAAAATAACAGTAACATGGGGAACTGGATATGCCGTAATAGCCAATAAAAGATTTCCCGGTTAAACATAAAGACACGGACATGCAGCACAGAGGAGGACAAGCCAGATCTTGTCTTTCATTTGCATGTGTGTGATTAGATAAAATCTGTTCAATGGCTGCAGGTACCAGAGGTACAAAATGTACTGGGATGGTCTCATTGTGCACACACAGCTCCCCTCCTTGTGGGCAATGGCTTTTATCAGTTGTCTTTAATCTTTCCAGAGAGATTTTGTGCATGGCACACAGTCTGGTTCTGAGTGTGTTCCACCCACCCCCAGCCCACTGTAATTTAAGAGCAGATTCCCATTCTCTGTATCCCTAAACAACCCAACTGAGAGGAGAAAACTCAAAAGATGTTAAGATATTTTTTTCTCCTCAAGGGGGAGATTTGTCCTGGATGTTTTTCATGCAATCAGTTCAGTTGGTGGATTTCATGTTTTGTTTTTGTGTAAATATTGCACTGTAGGATTAAAAAAAAAAAAAGGAAAAGCTAAATAGAAACCTTAAACTGACATACATTTTAAAAATCTCCATCCTCATGTCACCCTGGACAACAAATGAGATCCTACCTCAAAAACAAAAACGTTCCCTGAGTTAAAAGCTCAGTGCTGCAAACAAACCAACCTCGATCCTCACAAAGGCATCTAGTGGTCAGAGACTGGGATGTGGAATTGAACAGTCTGGGTTCAAACCCTGAGTCACCACTATAGCCTTGAGGGAGTCTCTCCATTTTCATCCTGTGAAGGAAGAGTTCCTGCCTCTTGTAGTTAGGGGATGTGAGAAAGGAGCAAAGCCTGGAACTTGAGTTTAGCAGTTCAGTTTGCTGTTGTCAGACCTGCCCTGTGATTTAAACTCTTGTAATGCCCTGATGAAGGTTCTCAAATTCTGTAAGCAGGGGAACCTGGACACTCACTTATTTTTTCCAGGTTATTTCCAATTCTAGCACTGTGTGATTCACAGTTTGTGTCACTTGCAAGACTCTTGTCTTTTCCACTGAAGACATGATTCAGGGTGCTGCTGCAGACTGGCTCTCAAGAATGTGAGTGTAAGCCAGACATGGTTTTAATACTAGCACTCTAGAGGCTGAGGCAGGAGAATTCCCCTTGAGCTCAGGAACAGCTTGAACCACATAGTGAGTTCATGAGTTCAAGGCCAGCCTGAACTACATAGTGAGACCTCGTCTCAAAAACAAGCTCCAAAACAAAAGAATCTGGGTATAGTACCAGAGGCTCTGCCTCTTGTTTTGAGCCTGGAAGAAAAAAGACTAAAGGGGTGTAAAGTTTCCAGCATAGGAAAGGATATTCTAAAGAGGTGCAGATGTTGCAAAATTTGTGAAAGATTAGTAACTGCATCGTGTGCAAAATGAATGGTACTGTCACTTTCTAGACGGCTCGCACACCTGCATATATGTGATTAAAGGTGTCACAAACTCGTACCCACTGTGGAGGTGATTTGAACGGTAACCAAGCTATTCAGATTGGACGAAGATTACTGTCAGAAATGGGAGATGCTGGGATTGAAGCTTCTCTTTCCAGGGTTTCAAAGACAGAATGCAGGTTTTCACCTGGCCTGTCCCACCCACTCCCGCAACCAGGTCAGCAGAGATGTAAGTCTGATGGCCTGGGTTCAGGGTAGCTCTCCTGCGCCGGGGTGCGGCATGTCCTTGCTCGTGGGTGTCACTTGGGTGGGTTTCTTCTGCCAGGGAACAGGTTGAGGAGGATGAGAGATTCGGTTTCTATGGATACTGGGCCGGCTGGAATTTGCATAATGTAGTTCAGAGAACAAACAGTCTGGGAACACAGCGACTGCGGAAGTACAGAGAGCCCCAGGGAAACGAGCTGGAAGATTCTAGAGAGCCGGGCTCCAAGGTAGCCCTCTTCTAAAAGGGACGCCAATCCGCTCCTGCTCCGCACAGGAAGCAGCTCGCGGAGCCCTGAGGAAGCACTGTGATGTGCGGACAGCGCCCCCTACTGGGCGTGCGCGAACTTGGGGCTCAGCCTGCGCGGTGCAGTTGTGCGGCCTCGCGAATTCAGCCACCTGCTAAGGCGCCCTTCCTTGCGGTACCTGGCCTGGGAACCGCCTGTTTACCCCCAAAGCGTGACGCCTGTGCTATTATACTCCTCATTGCCAGCTGAGCACCATGCCAGAAGGGCGCAGGAGGACACTGGGCTGGCCGATCGTTACAAAGCCAGACCTCAAACCCAAGATTGCTGGTATTACCATCCCGAACCCCAAACCACCTGGGGCGCGCAGCGGTACAGGAAGTGCAGCGAGGCAGTTCCCCGCGGGAGGTTCCGACCCCAGGGTAGGAATGAGGGAGATAAAGAGGACGAATGGGCGTCGCAGATTCCGAAGGAGGTGGGCTGGTGATTTGGCTGGAGCGGCACCCAGGTCCCTGAGAGGTGGGCTGGAGCGGGGCGGGCGGGCGCTGCTGTGTCCGTGGGACTTGGCGGGTGGGCAGATGGCGAAGGACACTGGACGACAGCTTTGTTTTTGTGCCAGTAATCTGCTGTTTCTCATCATCATCATCATCATTTTCACTGTAGCTTTGTAATATAATTTGAAGCCTGGAATTCAAGGTCTAGACAAGATACGAGGTGTGATTAAAAAACATGGTACGCATTTAAATAAAATTACAGCAAAAGGCACATTGGCGTGAATCCCCCTGAAAACCCTGCCCCTCAGTTCCCACACACATCCCCCCTCTTGCCGCTCCCTAAAGCAGTTCTGCAAGTCCTCTTGGGAGTGTCTTCATTTGCACTGTCCTGGTTGCCTCCAAAACCTAAATCAATTCAAAATGTTTCCCTTTAACAGTCATTTTGCTTTGGGAAGGAGCCAGAAGCCACACAGCACCAGATCTGGCGCATAAGGTGGGTGAAGACACATCCTGTTTTTACAAGCCTGCCTTTATGTTGGATGGCATGTGGCAGTATTTCTTTCTTTCTTTCTTTCTTTCTTTCTTTCTTTCTTTCTTTCTTTTCTTTCTTTCTTTCTTTTTCTTTCTCTCTCTCTCTCTCTCTCTCTCTCTCTCTCTCTCTCTCTGTCTCTCTCTCTACCTCTCTCTCTCTCTTTTTTTTGTAGAGTATTCTTCACCAAATTTGTTATCACACCTTGTAAAGACACTCAGGAAAGAGGTGTCCAAAAGTGCTTCAGTAAATGGCAAAATAATGAATAAATTTGTTTACAACAGGAGTATTTTGAAGGGCATTCATGGCAATGTATCTTTTACTGTAATGATTTTTTTAAATTGTAAAAACTTACCTAACATTTCTCTCATCCCTTGTACAGGGCCAGGCACACTCGGCATAGTGGTCTTGTTGAGGCCATGGGAGTCTGAGCTGTCACATGGAGAATAAGCAGATAAAAGGAGATGGACAAAATCCCGGGGAGCAGTGAGCCATGTAGGAGCGGGCCAAGGATTTGGGTTAGGCTCATACATGAGGAATGGACAGAAGCAGAACCCAAGGAAGATGGTATCACAAACAAAACAAAACAAAAAAACACAACCAAAACCTCAAACAAAACAGTCACCATGCTGAAGACAGAAAGGATAAGAGGCCAGAGATCCAGGTACATAGAACATGGGAAACAGTTCTCTGACTCCAGTTTAAAGTGAGATGCACAGCTTGCAGCCCTTGGCGTGGCTTCTTCCAAAACTAGGGAAGGCAAGAGAAAAAATAAAAGCAGCCATCACCCACAAAAAGCAATACGTGCAGCCAGTCGTGATGGCACATTATAATCCCAGAACTCTGGGATACTGAGGCGTGACGATCACCAGTTTGAGCCTAGCCTGAGACCCTTCGTGACTTAGTAAGACCCTGTGTCCAATAAGAATAAAAAGGGACAGAGGATGTAGCTTTGTGTAGAAGTCCTGGCTTCAATCCACAGCACAGTCCAAAAAAGAAAAAAAAAAAAGTGATGTGTACCCAAACTTTTGGCAAAAACTAAGAGGAATGCCCTGATCTATCAAGTCAGTGGTGCTGGAGCTTTAGAGCCCACACAGGGCCCCAGCAACCCCCTAGAAACATAGAAAGCTTCTGCGTCCTTCCCTCTCTCGTCCTGTCCAGACCCTGAGGGTCAGATGCTGTTAAGTTTCTGATGTTAGACTGGGTTCTCTCTCATTCTTTCTGCAAGTCACCCTTCTTACCTGTAGTTGACCACAGGCGACTAAACTGGTGGATAATGGGGGGCTACTGGAGACCTCTTTAGTAGGCTGCTGCCAGCACCCAGAAGGGAGCACTAGCATTCTTCCTAAGAAGTAATCTGCATTTGAACAGGGAGGGGAATAAAACAAAAAGGAAAGTGAGATCAAACAGACCTGCAAGAACCTGAGAAGGTAAAGTAACAGTAAAGTCCGCAGAGGAGACGTCAGCATTTTCATTTTTGTGCCAGTAACCTGGTGTTTCTCATCAGCACCATTTTTAATCACTGTAGCTTTGTAATATAATTTGAAGTCTGGAATTGTGATGCCCCCTGCTTTGCTCTTTTTGCCCAGGATTGCTTTTAGGTGTCTTCTGGTTCCCTATGAATTTTAGGTTTGTTTTCTCTAGTTCTGTGAAAAATGCTGCTTGTATTTCACTGGTATTGCATTAAATCTGTGTATCAGTTTTGGAAGTACGCCCATTTGGATAATATTAGCTCTGTCTACCCAGGAATAGGGGACATCTTTCTGTCTTCTGCTGTGCCCTTCAACCTCCTTTCTTCAGAGGTCATTTTAGAATGAAAATTCTCACTTCTGTGGTTAGGTTAATTTCTCAGTATTTAATTTTCCTTGATTCTTTTATGAATGGTGTTATTTTCCTAATTTCTCAGTGAGTTCATTATTGGTATATTGAAGAAATGGGTGTAGGTAAAGACCTTTTGAACAGAAAACCTTTGTCCACAGGAAATAACCCCAAGAATCAACAAATGGGATCAGATCAAATTGAAAAGCTTCTGTACAGCAAAGGAAACAACCAATTAACAGACAACCTATAGAATGGAAACACATTTTGCAAACTACATCTTAGAGGACTAATATCTAGAAAATATAAAGAACTCAAAAAAATTAGAGCCTCCAAATAAAAGACCCAATCAAAAAATAGACAAAGGAACAGACACTTCTCAGAAGTACAAATGCCCGCTAAACACATTAAAAATATTCAACATCTCTGGCCATTAGAAAATGGTAAAACAGCACTGAGATGCCATCTTTCTCCAACAAGAATGACCATCAGCAAGAAGTCAAACAACAACAAATGCTGGTGAGGCTGTGGGGAAAGGAAATTCTTCTGCGCTGTTGATGGAATGTAAATTAGCACAGCCACTATGGAAATCAGCATGGAGATTCCTCAAACACTAAAATAGAAATTTGGTTCAGCTTTCAGCCTCTGGATATCTTCCTGAAGGAGTTAGAATCAAGAGTTTTACAGTGACACACACGTGCCCATGTTTAAACCTATAGTAGCCTATAGTAGCTAAATCTTGGAGGCAGCCTTTATAGCCACCTAGAAATGCATGGGTAAAGAGAATGTGGCATTTACATGTGTTGGCATAGAGACAGCTAAGCCTGGTCATGGATAGGAAAATGAATGCACCTGGAGACCTTAACGTTAAATGAAATAAACCAGACAGACAAGCTTAATATTGTATGGTTCTTTTTATATGAGAAACTTAAAATATAAATAAAGAGCAGAAAAGAAGATAGATAATACGAAATAAGGAGATAGATCTTTGGAAAAGTGATAGAAGGAGGGTGAGGTCATGGAGAGGAAGGGGATAAAAAAGAATTAAGATGCATTATGTACATGTACCAACTCCACACAAGGAATGCAGTCACCACACACTGAAAACATACTCATAAATAAAATAAGATGTCAAGAACAGAATTGCAATGGGGTGGAGAAAAATTGAGAAAGAAATGCAGAAAACAGATTTGACATTATTGTCAAAAGATGAGAGAGGAACTAAAAATAATAAACAAGAGATGGGAGACAAAATAAGAATGTATCTTACAAATTACAGGAAAAAAATCAGAACAAATGGGAACTCGAATGATAGATACAATTAGCAACTGAAAGTGCTTATCAATTCTAAACCAATTCACAGCAAATATTTTGAGTTACAGAATACAAAATAAGCTCTACTAACATTTAAGATTAAAATGCAAAACACAAAGTTGGATGTTTACAAAGGAATAAAAATTAATTTGGGTTATTGAAAGAAAAATTATGAAAAAACTGGCATAAAATCTTGAACAAAGACTGAATCATGTAGAAATTTACACTCAGTCAAGTTGTGTTAAGGTAAAAACAAATGTCATTTCAAAAATGTAAAAACATACTATCAATGAATTCTGCTTGGAATAAATTGAATGACTCTGTGTTGATGTCAAAAATTATTTTGGGGAGTTCCTGCTCACTATCCTGAGCCCCAGGAGGGTTTAAGAGCATAGCTCCCAGTGGTCAAGGATGCATCCAGCTCCAGCCATGCTAGACTGGGCTCTGCAGGTTTCTGGCCTGCCTGGACCATGCCCAGTGACCTTCTTTCAATCTGGGGAACTGGGCTGCTGGCAGGGATGAGTTCCTGCACACCATCCCAAGCCCTGGGAGAGTTTAAAATCATTGCTCCCAGTGGTCAAGGACCCGCCCAGCTTCCAGCCACATTAGACTAGGCTTGGGAGGTTTTGTGGCCAGACTAGATTACACCCAGCGACCTTCTTCAATCAGAAGAGTTGAGAGCACATGAAGTGAGTTCCAGCGCATTGGTCATTGCCCAGGGAGAGCTGTGGACCATCATCCAGAGTGGTTTGGTGCCTGCCCAGCTTCCTGGAGCACTGGAGGTGGCACTGGAGTAGGTCCTGTGGGCCTGACTGGACCATGGTCAGCAACCTCCATTCAGTCCCAGGAGGCAAGGGCATAGGAGACGACTTCCAGTGTGCCCAAGGGAAGCCTTGGAACAATACTTGAAACACAGATATATAAGAAAATGACAAAACAAAAGACCAAAATGCAATCTCAAACCTCCAGCCCATCCCAAGAAAGCCTAGGAGCCATGTACATAGAAGAAAATATATGCCATATACCTGAAGTTCCTGAAATAATAGCAACTGAAATAAAGAAGCAACTCTGGGAAGCTTTAATGGAATTAAACTAGAAATAATCTCCCCAGTAAAAGAAGAAATGATAAAAATAATGAAAGAGATGCTGAACATATCTAAAGAAGACACAGTTAAAAAATTAGAGGAACAAAACAAAGAGATAGAATCCCTGGATGAACAATATAAAAAAACAAACAGAATACATGAAGCAGATGCAAAGAAATATACAGGAAATCAAAAATTCCATTGAAAGTTGTCAAAACCACCTCAATGAAAGTGAAGAAAGAATTTCAGATCATGAAGACAAGATTTCAGCTAGTGAACAGGAAAAGAAAGACATTTTAAAAATAACAAGAAATTGGGAAATAACAATTCAATAGCTGCAAGATGATGCAAAGAAAAACAACATAAGATTGATAGGGATAAATGAAAAAGAAGGGGATAACACAAATAATATCAAGTGGCTATTTACAGAAGTAATAGCTGAAAATTTCCCAAACATGAGAATGGAAACTGACATTAGGATTAGTGAAGCATATAGAACCTCAAATAGCCATAACCAAAATAAAATTACACCCAGACATATAATAACCACCATCCCAGAAATCCAACGTAAGAACAGAATATTAAAAGCTGTTAGAAAAGACAGATCACCTACAAAAGAAAACCTATCAGAATTGCAACAGACTTCTCAACACAAAACAGTGAAGTCAAGAAGAGCACAGAGTGAAGTATTTCAGATCTTAAAGGAAAATGATTTCCAACCTAGACTGATGTACCCTGAAAAACTGTCCTTCAAAATCGATGCAAAAATAAGATACTTCCACGACAAAGAATAGCTGAAGAACTTCATGATCACCAAGCCAACCCTACAAAGAATACTGAAAGACAGTTTATATACACATAGGAAAAAACCACTAAGCAAGGCAGACAATTAAACAGAATGGAAAGATAAAGATGCAACAGCAGAAAGATAACATGTCAACAATAAATCAGTATATAACAGTTATAACCATTGATGTAAATGGTCTCAATGCACCAATTAAAAGAAACAGACTGGCAGAATGGATCAAGAAACAAAATCCAACCATATGCTTTCTACAAGAAATCCATCTAACCCAAAAGTATACTCACAGACTGAAAGTCAAAGGATGGAAAAAATTACTTCATGCAACGGGAACCAAAAAAAAGCGGGGTTAGGTATTCTATTTGCAGACAATGTGAACTTCAAACCAAGAATGACCCTAAGAGATAAAGAAGGTCACTACATACTCGTTAGGGGAAAATTTCAAGAGTAAGAAATAACAATCTTAAATATATAGGCACCAAATTCCAGACCACCCAGTTATACAAAACAAGTATTAATAGAAATGAAAAATCAAATTAGCAATAACATAATTATAACAGGAGACCTTAACACACCATTGACACCAGGGACAGACCAACCAGACAGAAAATCAGCAAAGAAATAACAAAACTGAATCACACCTGTGAACAAATGGACTTGATAGACATAAACAGGGTGTCCCATCCAACAATATCAGAATATACATTCTTCTCAGCAGCACATGGGACATTCTCTAAAATAGAGCATATACTAGCCCACAGAATATATTTAAATAAATGCAAAAGAATTGAAATTATCCCATGCATGTTATCAGATCATTGCACCATGAAATTAGAAATTAATGATAAAATAAACTGCAAACACCCCACAAACACATGGAAATTGAATAATACACTCAAGCAATCAGTGGGTCACAGGGGAAATTAAAAAGAAATTAAACAATACCTACATGCAAATGAAAATACAAATACCACTTACCGGAATCTGTGGGATGCAATGAAAGCTGTCCTCAGAGGAAAATTTATTGCACTGAATTCCCATATCAGGAAAACAGAATGAATATAAATAAACAACCTGATGTTACACCTCAAACATCTAGAAAAAGAAGAGCAAGTCAAGCCCAAAGCCAAAAGAAGGAAGGAAATTATAAAAACTAGAGCAGAAATTAATGCAATAGAGACTAAGAAAACAATCCAAAGAATCAATGAATCAGAATTGGTTCTTTGAAAGAATAAATAAAATTGATAAGCCCTTAGCCAACCTTATTAACAAAAGGAAAGAAAAAAGCTCAAATTCATGCGATAAGGAATGAAAAAGGCGAAATCACTACAGACTCTAGAGAAATACAGAAGATCATCAACACCTATTTCAAAAACCTCTACTCTCAAAGGTTCAATAATACAGAAGAAATGGACAGATTCCTAGAAACATATGAAATACCAAAGCTAGATCAAGAGGATGTAAAACTGCTGAATAACCCAATCTCTATCAATGAAATTGAACATGTAATTAATTCCTTACCTACAAAGAAGAGCCCAGGCCCAGACGGATTCATTGCAGAATTCTACAAGAAATACAAAGAAGACAATGCTGACACTCCTCACGCTCTTCAATGAAATCAAAAGGGAAGCAGTTCTTCTAAGTCATTCCTGAAAGCAAATGTTACTCTACTACCAAAACCTGAGAAAGACCCAACTAAAAAAAAAGAACTACAGACAAATCTCCCTAATGAACACAGATGCAAAAATCCTCAATAAAATATTGGCAAACAGGATGCAGCAAATCATCAAGCAGATTATACAACATGACCAAGTGGGATTCATCTCAGTCATGCAGGGATAGTTCAACATACGCAGATCAATAAATGGAATCCATCATATCAATAGAGACAAAAGTAAGAATCACATGACCATTTCTACAGATGCAGAAGAAGCTTTTGATAAGATCCAACATTCATTCATGATAAGAACCTTACAGAAAATTGGAATAAGATGGTCTTTACCTCAGTATGATAAAGGCCATCTATGACAGACTGACAGCCAGCATCATATTAAATGGCCAAAAACTGAAGGCCTTTACCTTACAATCAGGCACAAGACAAGGATGTCCCTTATCACCACTCCTATTCAACATATTACTGGAAATACTAGACAGAGCAATTAGACAACAAAGAGAAATAAAAGGGGTAAAGGTAGGAATAGAGGAAGTTAAATTATCATTATTTGTAGATGACATGATACTCATAAGACCCCTGAAACTCCATTGAAAGTCTCTCAGATATAATAAATAAATTCAGCAGTATAGCTGGATACGAAATCAAAATTCAATAGCATTCCTATACACTAACAACAAAATCACACAGAGACATAAGAGAAGCCACACCCTTCACGCTAGCATACAAAAAAATGAAATACTTAGGACTTAATCTCACAAAAGACGTAAAAGATTTATACAGGGAAAATTATAATACCATGAAAAAGGAAATCAAAGAGGATCTCAGAAAATGGAAAGACATCCCTTGCTCATGGATAGGAAGAATAAATATTGTGAAAATGGCTATTCTCCCAAAACTGTTATACAGATTCAATTCAATCTCAGTGAAAGTAACCATCAACATACCTCATAGACCTAGAGAAATCACTCCTAAATTTCATCTGAAACCAGAAGAGACCTAGAATAGCATAGACAATTCTCAACAGCAGAGTCAAGGCAGGAGGCATCACAATCCCTGACTTCAAGTTATACTACAAAGCAGCTGTAATAAAATCACCATGGTACTGGAATAAAAACAGATCTGAAGATCAATGGAATAGATTAGAAGATACAACACAACTACAAACACACTCAACAACCTTATCACATGTTCACTGGAAGAACAACAGTCTCTTTAATAAATAGTGCTGGAAAAACTGGCTCGCCATATGCCAAAAACCACAACTAGACCCATGCCTATCACCATGTACTAAACTAAAATCGAAATGGATCAAAGATCTGAATATTAAAACAGAAACACTAAATCTGTTGGAAGACAAATTAGGGAAAAATCTTGAATACGTAGGGAAAGGTAGAGAATTCATGAACAAGAATCAAACCACACGGGAAACACTTCCCAGAATTAACAAATGGAATCACATCTTATTAAAAAGTTTCTGCATGTCAACAGAAAACTCCAGCATAGTGAAAAGAAAACCTACAAAGTGGGAAACAGTCTTGGTGAACTGTCCCTCAGACAAAGGACTTCTGTCTAAAACATATAAAGAATTTAAAAATATCAGACCCCCAAAATTCAAAGATCCAATCAAAAAATGGGCATCTGAGATGAATATACAATTCTCAGATGAAGAAATATAAATGGCAAATAAATACATGAAAAAATGTTCAGCATCATTACTCATTAGAGAAATGCAAGTTAAAACCACACTGAGATTCCATCTCA